CCCCCCCCCGCCTTCTAAAGCATGTGGGAAATGGAGAGCACTTGAACTTAGATGCAACTTTTGGATAACTTAAAATTTTGGGGTCTGTTATTTTAGTGACTTGGCAAAATTTGCAGTTCGCAGAACTACTTACTTGTAAATAAAACCACAAAAAGTATGTAACTTAGCTCTGTGATCTTGGTTTTCAATGTAAAAAATAGAAAAAAACAAGTTCTTTCTGGCTTGTCCATTATTCTCTCTTTCTCTCTCTCTTGAATTTGCAAATGAATGCAAAAGGAGCTTGTAAAGGAAGAGTGAAATAGAATCTGATTTACAGTGTAACAGCTATGTAAGTGTGAATACTTTACTAATGAACTTTTCATTTGTCAATAAAATAAACAAGTAAAATTCCAGATATTAAGGAAAGTCCTGTTTGTGTCATCACTGACTACACTGTGCATAAAACAATACCCATCAAAGAAGATTGAAAACAGAATCCTGTATACTATGAGTAAAATAAAATTCCCAAGTTTCTTGTCATGGATATAAGTTTAGTCAAAATTAAAAGAAGGGCCAAGGGGTATTTTCATCATTTGACAATTTATTTTCAAAGTGGAAAAGGTACCTAATGTCATCTCTGCAAAAGCCTGTTAGTTCAGAAGCAATTAGTAAAAGCCAAGTAAATGCCTGAGATAAATTGCCTATTTTTACTGTAAAATTTTGATAACCACTCGCCGATTTCTCCTGGTGTCTTATCCAATTTTCTGTTTACTTAGGCTTCAGGCTCGAATTGCTCACAGAATCCAGGAACTGGAGAACTTGCCTGGTTCTCTGCCCCCTGATCTGCGAACCAAAGCTACAGTGGAGTTGAAGGCACTTAGGTTACTGAATTTCCAGCGCCAGGTAATGCCTTTTGCTTCAGGAAACTTCTCACAGAGGTCACAGCCAAACATATTCATGTAGCAAAGAGTAAACTGTCAAGAGATACAGCAGCACTGAGCCTAAGCAGGAGATTTTGCATGAGAGCAAACTTGACTGATAAACAAGTCACTGGAATGTTTACCTTAGATTTTATTTTGTTTTGTTTTGTTAATAAAAATGTGCAAGTGTTCTTTTTGCTTCCTGCTTTATCTTCCAGTCTAAAGTGTAACTATAGAAGTGTGTCTTTCATCATGAACATGGCATTGGCATGAAGACAAAACAAGAGCTGTACAGGCTGCAAGCTGATTTTCAACACAAGTCCCAATAGACACCTCCTTCTGGACATACTTCATATTTGTCATGGGTCCCCTTGTTTTAGCAAGAATTGTATGTTAGTGTTGTGTGTGGTATTTCTCTGTGATCTGTTTTCGGGATTTCCACTGTGGCACACAGACTTTGAAAATTACGTGTAACAAGATCATACCTAAGATTTAAATTGGATGTTGAGTGCATGTATCAGCAAATTAATTTCAGAAAAGGAATCACACTGCCAGACTCTTATGGGCCTCTTGCCGTTGGCTTTTCCAGCTAGTTTGGAAGAGCAAAGATGTGATTTGGCAGGTCAAGCAAAAATACTTCCTGACAGAAGCCTTGGCAGTAGTTGTATCATGATGTACAAGTCTTCCTTACCCTTGGCATTCCTTTGTAATGAAGTTTTGTCAGGGGACAGATGAAAAGCAGCAGGCTCTTCCTGCTGTACTGCTGGGACTGTGGCAATACTATTCCAAGCCCTTAACATTTACCTCTTCCTGCTGTCTCCTGCACAGCTGGCAATGAAATGAATTGTCAGCTGTGTTCATGTCCAGCTCTAGAAAGTATGTTATGTATGTTGTTCATTCGTGTTTTACTTCAACGGTGTAACATTTTGGCTGGCTCCTTTCATTGCAGCAGGACAGTCATTTGCAGCATCTTGTAAAGAAGGAAGAAATTATGATTAAGAGGGATTAACACTTTTGGCCATCCTGTGGATACTTAAGATTTGTTTAGGGAGACAGACATAGCTGCTGGAACTGTATAGATGGTGGATCTTTTCAGACCTGTAATGGAAAGGGAAGAGGAGACTGGGACATTTTCTGGACTGTTACTGTTTTACTCTGCCATACTAGTGTTTAAAGTTGTTCCTCCATGTATTAAAAAGGATTTTTTTTGTTTGTTTGTTTCTTTTTTCTCACTGGTAGCTAAGACAAGAGGTAGTAGCCTGCATGCGTCGTGACACAACGCTGGAGACAGCACTGAACTCCAAAGCCTACAAACGAAGCAAGCGCCAGACTTTGAGGGAGGCCCGTATGACAGAAAAGCTTGAGAAACAGCAGAAGATAGAACAGGAGAGGAAGCGTAGGCAGAAGCATCAGGTATTTTAACTTATTAGCTGTTTGCCCCATGACCGAAACGCACCTTGCTTTGCTGTGCGGGTCTTCTCTGTTACATATTTTATTTACCTTTGGAGTTTGTAAGATTTAAAAACTCCAAATCATGTGATAAGTAATTGGAAAATGATAACATTAGAACTTCTGTGTTCCTGATTTCAGATCCTGTGCTTAGTCCAAGTGTCTGCACTGACTTGTTTCTCTTTCTAGGAATACCTGAATAGCATATTGCAGCATGCTAAAGATTTTAAAGAGTACCACCGGTCAGTCGCTGGAAAAATTCAGAAACTTTCTAAAGCTGTGGCAACTTGGCATGCCAACACTGAGCGTGAGCAGAAAAAAGAAACTGAGAGAATTGAGAAAGAAAGAATGAGGAGACTAATGGTAAGGAGTAGAGGAAGGAATATGGTTATTTTAGCTAAAATTACATACTGTATCCTTTTAATATTTCATATACAGCCTCAGCCACACCCGTGTATTTCCTTTGCAGAATAAAGCCTCTGTAACACAAGAACTATAAATCTAAAACTGCTGCATTTTGGCTATGTGTATTTCCGATGATGGTAGTGAATGTGACACTGTTCATTTTAACCTATAGCTACTTCTTTTGAGTAATTGCTTTTTCTACCAGCATGAAAACTTAGCCACTTCTGTATAATATCACTTAATCTCATTAACTTCATATACTAATACTGTTACATAATTGCAGGGGTATCAGTCTATTACATAAATACCGGACTGCGTTTTGTTTCTAGGTTTATAGTTTTGAAGATTCGATATGATTAACTTGTTCATGGCATTACTCCACAACTTTTGCATGAAGCTGATTTCACATGCAAAAATACATAACCAGTAGTAGTAATGCATGTATCTTGAGAATTAATAGCAGTCAGTTCTACCCATTAATGCTCCAAGACCATACCCCTTCTTGCTATTCCATAGTTTTCCCTTCCTTGCACCTGCACAATATCAGTTGTATTGTTCTTAGGAAAGAGTAGAATGAGTTTATGTATAACGATGTCTTTTCAGAATGCTGTGGAATCAATCAGTGGGCTGCCTACATTTCAGGAGTTAAAATAATTCTGGAATTTAAAGTGTAGACAGATTAATGTGTATGTACAAGTATGTTAGCAACTGGCGTTGGAAAAATTTCTTCAAGACATTGGTTAGCTCTTTTTTAACACTTTATTAACACTTTACCAACATAGTATTGAATGGAAATTGACATGCTTACGTTGCAACATGCTGGTAAAAACCAGTAAGTATATAATATGGGCGCAGATGTGATGCAAAACTCTAGTCCCTGTCCAGAATCCATTCGCACCACTGACTGAACAGGACTGAACAGTTTGGTTTTAAAAATCACAGAACAAAATGTAGAAATAATTAAATATAAAAATGATAAAAACTTAGAAATAGAAGTATGTGTAAAATGTAAATGAAGGACTTGTATAAGAGAATAACAAATGTTTAGGCCCTTGATCATTTCTTAAAATTACATAGTAATCAGCATTATAGAGCTTTTTTATAATTAGAGATAATTGCCAACAGTCTATCTAACCAAGCTCGTAAAATGTTAATTATTAGAGAAAAAAGATCTGATTAAAAAAAAAGGTAATCTTGGTATTTTAGAAATATTTTTGTACATCATGAGGTTGAGCTTGTGCCAGTCTAATGTGTAGTACAGTAAATAAAAAAGATGTCCACTGCTGAAAAATATGAAGTAGATTTGATGCCCAGAAATGGACAGGATACCAGTGCTTCCAGAATATCAGTGCTTTCTCTGAAGACTCCTTCACCAAGGCTGCGGTTAAGCTCTTACCATAGATACGGCACTTCATAGGCCTTTTCAGTCTGGGGCTTTGCACTCAGAAGTCCTTGCCCCTACTACTCAATTGAATCCTTCCACAAACGCAAACTGTGTGTTATGTTAGTGGGGTTATTTTGCCTATTTAGTTTTAGTCCAGTTGTGATAAATTTTGAATTTGCAAAGAGGTACTAGGGTTTTTTACAAACATCTTCTCTCAGACGCTTAATGTGGTCTAGGAAAATGTGGTGTGTCTAGAATTCTTCCCATACTGTTTCAGGAATGTTGAATTCATTCAGAGATTGTCCTTCATTGACTTCGATTAGAAATGGTGATTGTGTCACAGCTCATTAATACTAGGATATATCATACGCAGGAATAGGCATTGGTATGATTTTAAAAGATACTGTCAAGACAAGCTTGAATGTATAAAGGAAGTACCTTGGCTAGATTACAATGACTCTGTATTCAGTAATAATAATGATAATGATAAAAAATAAAAACTTAGGTTTTGAGTGTTGTAGTTCTGATGGCTTGAACATTACAACTGAATTTTACAGGTAGTTTTACAAGCTCAATTTGAACATTACAGCTGTTCTTGCCAACTTTCTGCAGTTCTGGTGTCTGTCCAGAAAGGCAGGAAATTTTTTGTGTCTCCCAGAGTGCTGTCTTTTAAAGTAATCATCTTTAAAATATTTCTTACTCGTATTTGTTTTTTATAAGGCATTGTATACTTCCTTTATTTGTTTTTTTAGCCAAAAAACCAACGCCTTTAGATGAAGGCATCTCTGCTGCTTTCCTTGTATTTTTCTGACGTGCTCAAATGCAGCATGATATATTCACAGCACATGAAAATAATATTTCCTGGTATTTCTTACTCCTAACACCACACTTACACAGTGTCGTAAGTTGCCAGAATGACTCAGAGATACGGTTTATCTGGTGAATCCTATCTCTGATAGTGACCTATATCAAAGATGAAATAACACCAGAATAGAAAGATGATAGATACTCTGCCCAAAATAAAAGTTTCTTCTAACACCTAAAAGAAAAATATTTGTATTCATACCGGAAAAAGGACTAAATGCAAGTTCGCATCCACCTTCCATGTTCTTCCTTTGGGTATGGGCTACCTGCACTTTGAAAAATCATCTCTGTAGGAGGCTTACCAAGCATCTCTGTTTCAGGACATTGATTTTGCGTTAAGTGATTTCCCCTTCCCCCGCTCCCCTTACTTATCATAACTGCTGTAGATTTTCCAGCCATTAGTCCATGAGAGTAGGAGATATTTAGAATCATAGTGTGACCCAGAGTAACTTAGGGTGACAGGGAGCTCTCTAGTCCAACCACCTTCCCAAAGCAGTGTCAACATTGATTTCAAAGCAGGTTGCTCAAGGCTTTTTTGAAGTCACGTCTTGAAAACCTCTAAGGTCAGAAATGGCACAACTTCTCTGCCTGTTCAGGTTCTTCTGAAGTGCAGTCCAGCCGCCAAGCATATTGACTGGTATCCTCCAGTTCCGTGTCATCTGCAAACTTGACTAGAGTGCCCTCCATCCCTTCCTCTGGGTCACTGATAGAGATGTTAAACACAACATGCCCCAGGATAGACCCCTGTGGTATCCCTCTTTTTACCATCTCCAGATAGAGTATGGCCCTCTGCAGCCCTGCAGAGAAGGACTTGGGGGCATCCGTGGTTGAAAAGCTGGACATGAGATGGCAATGTGCGTCCGCAGCCCAGAAAGCCAATCACGTTCTGCACTGCATCAAAAGAAGCATGGCCAGCAGGTCGAGGGAGGTGATTCTCCCCCTCTACTCGCTCTTGCGAGACCCCATCTGGACTACTGCGTTCAGCTCTGGGGCCCCCAGCATAAGAAAGACGGGGACCTCTTGTTGAGGGTCCAGAGGAGGGCCACGTAGATGATCAGGGGACTGGAGCACCTTTCCTCTGAGGACAGGCTGAGAGAGTTGGGGTTGTTTAGCTTGGAGGAGAGAAGGCTCCAGGGAGACATTATAGCAGCCTTCCAGTACTTAAAGGGGGTCTACAGGAAAGATGGGGATGGACTCTTTATCAGCAATTGTAGTGATAGGATGAGGGGTAACGGTTTTAAACTGAAAGAGGGTAGTTTTAGATTAGATATTAGGAAGAAATTCTTTACTGTGAGGGTGGTGAGATATTGGAACAGGTTGCCCAGAGAAGTTGTGGATGCCCCCTCCCTGGAAGTGTTCAAGGCCGGGTTGTATGAGGCTTTGAGCAACCTGATCTAGTGGAGGGTATCCCTGCCGCGGCAGGGGTTTGGAACTAGATGATCTTTAAGGTCCCTTCCAACCCAAACCATTCTGTGATTCTGTGATCCATTAACACAAATGTATGACCCTCTGGGCCTGATTGTCCAACAAGTTCTTTACCCATCTGGTTGTCCTCCTACGCAGATCACAATGCTCTAACTAAGATAACACATGATTATTGACATAAGAGATGGTTGATGTTTATTTGGAAGCATTTCTGTCATGGCTGATGTCTATTTTGTATTGCTAGGCTGAAGATGAAGAAGGCTACCGTAAGCTGATTGACCAAAAGAAAGATAGACGCCTGGCCTACTTATTGCAGCAGACAGATGAGTATGTGGCTAATTTGACTAACCTGGTATGGGAGCATAAACAGGCACAAGCAGCCAAAGAGAAGAAGAAGAGAAGGAGAAGAAAGAAGGCAAGTAGTTACAGCTGGTATTTTTAGGCCGTCTCTTCTTCAAATCCAACTTTAATGTTGATAAATGTAGTGATACCCAATTGTCATACACATACCAGAGTATCTAAAATCATCTATACTGCCAAATTCTTGACACTGAGGGAACTCATCTCTCGCCACTGAAATACATAAAAAATTTGCTATCATTAATTCCAAAGAAGGTGAGAAAGAGGCAGGGTTAGAAAAGTGTGGGCTGTTAACATTGATTTACTGATAAACTTTCTACAGGCAAAACTGGGCCAGACACGTAAATTAGGATTAAAGTACCCAAAAAGGATCCAATGGATCCAAAATACATTGTGTGAAGAAGATGGAAAAAGTCTGGTTTGTGTAGCTGTTTCATACAGGGTAACTTTTTAGACCTCCACATTGTACACGTGGCTCAGTGAGTTTTGTAGGACCACTGGAAATTACTAGAGAGAAAGAACTTGGATAGGTTTATTACAGTAAATGGGTATTCTGCCAGTAGTATTCTTCATTGTGCATTCTTAACATTTAATTGAAGCTTTTCAAAATTACCTTTCTTCATATGAAATTTACCTTGTGAGAGAGACTCATTGTGGAAACTGAACAGTGCTATTTTTGAAAAAATAATTCTGTCTGTGCAATAATCATTAAGTAATGATTTTTCATTTTTGTGACCTCTGAGTACCCTTCATCTCTTGCAGGATGGATAAGAGGATTTTTATAATCCATTTCCATGCCTGGTTTGCTACTAATTACTGATAAAAATATAAACGTTATATTTACATGGTTTACAAGCAGCACTTTAAATATGCTAATAAATACCAGCATATAAAAATTCTAATTTTGGAGATTAATGGCCTAAAAAATGCTCCATGTTTTCTCCTGTCCCTGTCCAAAACCTCTGTACTTGTTGAGATTATATTCTTAACATAGGAACAATCTCCCGCCTGCAAAGTTAAGATGTAACTTAATGGGGTTCTTGACCTGTATTACCAGTGACAACAGACCTGATTTAATGTACAGAATTTACAGTAGGGATAATCCTTATGAGATAGCATGTGGAGTAAATGCACTGCTCTAATGAGAAGTATTAATTCCTTCAACAATCCACAGCTGTGATATGGTTCTATTTCTATGTTAGGTTAGCTGAAGTGTGTATGAGGAACAGGGTATCTTCTGGCCATGTCAATAAAGACATAATTTTCTGTCACTGAAGTAAAAAGGAAATGTGCCCCATAAATATTCAGTGCTTATACACTGAAACCTAAAGGAAGATCAGCACAAAAAAATCTCAGCCCTGTCTTGATCATCTGCAGCTTTTTTTTTGTAATAAAGTTTCTTCCACCCAGCTTCTGCTCCTCTGTCAAAGATACAGGAGTGCACACAAATATTACCCTTTGTTTTCATTTATAATTCTATGAATTTGTTGTTGCATGGCTGCAGCACTCATTGAAGTTAGTGGGCACTGTGTCTTTTTCCAAGTGACACACTTTTAATATTTAGCCTTTTATGTTTTGTAAAACACGATTTAATTGACTAATAACTGTAGATAAATGTTTTGTACTTACAGAGAAATTCTTAGAGAGAGTTCTTAGGATTTTCTCTTAGAAATGGCAATGACGAAGTAGGTAGTGAAGAAGTACTTCTCGTCTTCACCAGGCTCACATTACATAGTATCCAAGTGAACCCTGTATTCTTACGAGAATAAAATTTCAGATTAGTCCATTATTTCTCTGGAATACAGTTTGGGGAATCTTTGTGGTAGATTTTCCCTCTTTGCTTTCTTCACATTTCTGTATTTGGGTCTTCTGTCTCCAGCCTCCTGTTCAACTAGTGTCCCACATCCTCACTGCAGTCATGGATTAAAAAAAAAAAAAAAGCCAGATGAAATTTTTACCTGATAGGCCAGTTTAACTTGCTATGCAACCTTTTACCTTTACACATAGGAGTTTTTCCTGTCATTATATGGAGAATGCAGAAAATACAGCTTCCTACTTTTATAAAATGGGTATTTCCTTGTCAAGGATTAAATTGTCAAGATTAAAGATATGTTTCCATACCCCAAAATACAAGTGTGAGATAACTGTCATTACTTACATTTATCTCCTTTGTAACATGTTTCTGCTTTCCAAAATTGTTTTTAACTGTAGTTTTCAAATGTTTCTGCTCTCACAGCAGGATCTGATCTTTGCACAGTGAACAGCACTGATGCCTACTGCTTATTTGAGTTGGTGTGCTTGAGTTGTAAGGTTCTTCCCATTGACTATAGCTAAGCTGTATCAATCTTTATATATTAGAGAGCAGTCTCGTGCAAAAGAATGGACCCCTCCCCTTGTTGTTCATCCAAGGGAAAAATACCCTCACTCAGTGTAGCTTGGTCAGCCAAGGCTAGGTATGTACTATCGTAACTTATCCTGCCCCTCTTAGTTTAAACTCTTCAGTTCTGGTACAATAACTTTCTTTGTCAGCAGACATACCTGCGCCCCAGGAATGCTGAAGCAAGCAGCCTTCAAGCTCATATTGATGTTGTTCTTACTGAGCATCAGCTATTGTTGCATTGAGCAGGACCAGTGACAGTTGTGTAGCCCAGTGAAGTATTTATAAGCCTCTCCTTCAGGTCATTTTTGTATATTAAAGAATATTGTACTTCATAAATATTTTAAAGGTTTTAGACTAGAATTATGCTTAGCCAGATTTCCATTTTTGGTAATACTAGTGAAAGGGTAGTTAACAAAGATAATCAGGCGTGTGTCCTGAAGTATGAAGGCTATATAAAAGAAATAACAATAAACTTTTTAAAATGTAGAATTGACCCATGTCTGCTGCTGCATGTTGATTTGAAGTTCATCCCTTGGAAAATGGATTTAAATGGTTAAAACAAAGGTTCAAGGCTTGATCTGAAGCAGATATTGAGGATCATCTCAATAGTCAGAAGTGCAGCTATTCCTTAAGTATACTTCTTAAAAAAAAAAGAAACAACTGGATTATCTACATTTATTACACACATTAACGATACTTGGAAGTTGTTTATCTATAAAACACAATTTAAGAGGTCTGTTTTTCTTGTTAGTCTGATCTGTTTACATTGGTAACCAAAATAAAACTCCGCTGTAGTAATACAAACCCAGCACTGTGACAGGAGCAGAAGCTGTATTCTATTCTTTTCTTGCTCACTGTCAGAATTGTTTAGGAAAGTTCCAGTTCAGAAGCAAACTATGTCTTCCATTTTCTCATACTATCCGGACATTCTTAAGTAGGGTAAATGAGGACAGGTGTTGATGAAGATACTGTTTATTTCTCAGAGTGATGCCTGGGGAGAAAAAAAATCTAGCTCACTCCAGCTAAGAACTCCAGGGTTCTTTTTGTTTATCATTTGAGTGGTTGTGGTCTAGACTTGAGATACAGTGCAAAGAGCTCCCAAATACCCCTTCTAGTTAGTTGTCAGACCAAAAAAAATTGTGTATGTACCCAAAATGAAAGTGCCTGCAGAACTATACAATCTGTGATGCCTGGTGACACCTCTGAAATGGAGATGAAAGCACTTCAGGGAAAATTCATAGTAAATAATTTTAAAATTAATTACTGTTTTATTTGTATTAGCACAGTCTGTAAGCAACTGAGCTCTAGGTCTGGACTAGAAATTCAGTAGGCCAGCCACTCCTTAGATGCAGACTTATTACAGTGACTAGAAGTGTTGCAGGTACCCTATTCATACTAGTAAATGGTTTTTGTGTGTGTGGTAGTAACGCCTATCGCTACCTGTATCCACCCACACCTTAATTTACGTGCATCCCAGGCTATTCAGAAATAGAGTGAAACATATTCATGGTCCAAAAGACTTACATCATATAAAGTATTCTCTCTGTACTTGTAATCTGAGCGTGATATTTTTCATTTCTTCATTTGTTGTAGAAAGCTGAAGAAAATGCAGAAGGAATGGCATCTGGTCTTGGTCCTGATGGAGAGGTATGACTTTTACAAGGTGGTTGTTTTGTTGGTTTGGTTTTTTTTTAAAACTTTCCAGTGATTGTTCTGTGTGCCATTGTTATAGCTAAAAAAAAATAATGACCACAAATGTTCTAAGAAGAGCTGTTGTTTATAACCAGGAATAAAAATTACCTAGGTTAACATTTACACTAGCCTGTTTCTCTTCAGAAGGTAGAAGACGGAAAGAAAAATACATGGAATCGATCACTGAGTGTGCTGAATAATCCTCTTAGCTTTGTTATATGCTCAAAAGTAAATGGTTTTCTTTCTGTGTGTAGACATAATTTATTTTCTAAAATGAAGTTGTAAATAATATATTCTAGCTTCTCATTTTTATAAAAAATATTGTTGATATTGCATGTACTTACCTTTCGGACACAGAGCAGGCTATAGTATTATCATGGCTTAAGACATCTGAAAGTTCTTTCCTTCTCAGAAGTAAATGGAAATGAGTAACTTTTCTGTGTAATTCTTTGAATAATATTTTTCATTCAGTAGCAGAGCATATGCTGCCTCATTAAGAGCTATTCTGTTAATGCCATTTTTCTGTTCCGTTTTATTTTTATATGAAGACTTTAGAATAGTATTTATTGTTTTACTTTTGGTCTTTTGTATACTTACAAGTGATATTTTTGCTGATGTAGTTAAAGAGTTACAGCAAAATCCTTTAATATATTTGCGGTTGCACAAGTAAAATGCCCATAACATTCCTGTAACTTCAGTATTTATGGAAATGAGGTAAGTTTTATACTCTGACAGTCTCTGTATTTATAACTGTTCAGAATTATTTTTTCTTGTTCATATATGTGTGTATATATTAGGAAAAGATTCTTCAGTGGAAGCAGTAGTAGAAGGCAAAAAGTTTTTAAAGTAGAAAATCTGTAATTAAACAGGGCAAAGAAATAACAGAAAAAGTAGTACGCTATTCTGGTTTTGTTAGACCACTAGAATAAAAGGTTTTGTTATTGTAGGTGCTTTATCAGCTTAACTGAAGAACTCAGGGCAGTGAATCTTTAAAATAGGCCTTCTTTACTTAAAAAGTTAGCTAAGTTGTTATGTCCTTGTTTCTGCATGTAAGAGAAAAAGGTCATAAGGTCAGTGTATGTTTTTTTGTTACAGATGTCCATTGGTGTAAATAATAGGATTAAATGCCTATAAGCATACATACCTTGTGTCTTGTTTCACAGAAGCCAACAGTGTATTCTTTTCCATGCTGCTCTTATTAATTTATTTGGAACACTGTGATGTATTTGTGGATGTCACACAGAATATGTTACACACAGAAATACTGTGACTCTGCTTGATAGCCATGTGGGAAGGTATGGCTTCTAATAACAAAACCTCACTGCTTGTTCATATCTGGAATTTTGAAGGTGCTATTAGTTCCTTTTATTATGTATGACAAGCATGAAATTCAGTTGCCTTATGGTATAAAATTTCATTTTAATTTTTAGCCCATAGATGAGAGCAGTCAGATGAGTGACCTTCCAGTCAAAGTGACTCACACTGAAACAGGCAAAGTTCTTCTTGGACCAGAAGCGCCAAAAGCAAGTCAGCTGGATGCTTGGCTGGAAATGAACCCTGGGTAAGTAGTTAGCATACAAGTAGGCTGCTTTTTCTGTTTGCATCGATATTTTTCATGGGCTTTGCTTAGTTATTCTTTCTTCTTTTTTACCTATTCTATTCTCCTTTTAATTTATTATGTATAAGCTGAGTAGGAGATGTATTGAACCTAATCCCTTCTCTTGTTACCTGTAATTCATAATGTTTCTGTTGTCTTTATAAAGCTATGAAGTTGCTCCCAGGTCAGACAGTGAAGATGAAAGTGGCTCTGAATATGAGGAGGAGGTATGTGTCTTTAAAAAAAGTACTGTGGCAGGTAATACAGTAAAAAACAAGTACTCACTCCATGTGATATTTTCCTTTTTTTCATAAGGAAGAAAGGGAAAGTAATAGCAGATGTCTAGGTATTTTAAGATTAATACCATAGGAAAAGTAACTGGGTTTGTAAGTCTTTTCAGTTCATAGCAGTTGCCCTTTATATGTGCTATAAATGCCTAACTGGTAATCCGGGTTAGGAAAAGTAAATATTTTACTCTGACTATTAATAAGCATGAACCAGAGAATATAAGCCGGTTTCTGTTTTAAAATATATGTCAGAAAAGGCTGTATTGTGGCTTGGTGCTGAATGAAGTTAACATCTTTAATGTTTATGCATTGGAGGTTTTATTGGCAATTCTGAATAACACAGTTATTATTTATATATTTATTAAAAAGCTAGGGATTATGTCAGGGATTTAGGTTCAGACTGTTCAGGGTATGCTTATTTGATTCACTACTTTAATGGTGATTTAAATACTGTTATTACAAAAATTCTAGAAAGAATCTTGAACTTAAAATTAACACACACAAAGATCCCAACCTTGCAGGGTCATAATATTAGATACTGTGAATAATCAATACCGGTACTTGCATAGCATTTTTCAGACAAGTACTTTCTAAAGGAGAGGAAAACTGAGGATTAGAGAAGGAGCCTGTTCAATCAGCAGGCTAGTAGCAGAACTAGGTATAAAATTCAGATCTCCTAAGTCTAGCAGTCTTTACAATACTAGACCAAATGACCACTGAAACTGACTGAACTGTATGATATTAAGGTACGTGCCTTTGTAGGACTAATTACTGCTAATGTAATTCTACAAGATGCTCAGTATTAAGGTAGTAGGGGAGGGCCTGATACCTGTCAGATTCTAGGAGGAATGTTAAGAGAGGTGCGCCCGCGTTTTTAGCACAGACTTTTTAGCAGCAGTGTTGTTTGGAGCTGTTGTTAATATATGTCAAAAATTATCTTGCTATGCTGCAGTGCAGTTCTGTTGCAGAATAGGTGTCAGCTGAACTTTGTGATTCAGGTTTCTGTCATAAAGCATTGACCAATAAAAGCTACCACTGTGTGAATGCCAGTTCAAAGTATGACTTAGGAAGATGCTGCACTTCAGCACCCCTGTTCTTTTTCTGCATTCTGTAGGATGATGAAGAAGAATCAAGCAGGTTAGAAGCAGATGAGAAGATACTCCTGGATCCTAACAGTGAGGAAGTTTCCGAAAAAGATGCAAAGCAAATCATTGAGTGAGTGTTCTTTAGGTGCTGTTTTTCGTTAGGAGTTGTGATTTCTTACAATGGCATTTCCCAAGAGTAGCTTGCTCTAGATTACAGTGAGTTGTGGTAGCTTCTCCGGCATGAACATCTGCAGGAGAAGGAACATGATCATGTGGTATTAATTGTGTACAATTCATAAAGTAGCTTGCTCTCTTTGGTGTACTCACCAGAGTTGGGGATTTGCACTGTTTCTTTAGACACACATATGTGAGCTATGGTCAAAAAACCTGTTTGTGGGAATTCACTTTAGTTCTTTTTCTGCTTTCCAGGACAGCCAAACAAGATGTGGATGATGAATATAGCATGCAGTATAGTGCTAGAGGGTCTCAGTCCTACTACACTGTTGCTCATGCGATCACAGAAAGGGTGGAAAAGCAGTCTTCTCTTCTTATTAATGGCACGCTAAAACATTACCAGGTGAGAAATCATTAAAACATTAAAATATTTAAAACTTGGAATTATGCTCGATATTTCAGTGTGGTATTTCAAGTGGCAAACTGAAAATTTGTTAAGAAATACAAGATCTCTAGTAGGCTAGAATTTGGAAATTACATGGACAGAGCAATGACAGTTACCTATCACAGGTAACGTTTCATACATACTGCTTGAATAATAATAATACCAACTTTCTGCATAGACCTGTAACTTTTCTTTTCATTGCAGACCAGTAATATTTTGCTTTTGCTATCCTTTTCATTGATCTGGAATTTCAATTCGGCTTATCATTTGTGGTGGGTTAACAATATTTTTCTTCTTCCATTATTTAAAAGTTTAGGATTTTATTTTTTAATTAACATCCTAATATTTTAGTGCAGTGATAGATAAAATTTGGAAACAAGCAAAAATACTGTACTGTGGAAGTTGATGTCTCATATTCTTTGCAGACCTTCAGTGGATTTAGTAACTAGGAACCTCTGTATGCTGACATAAGCTAGATTCATGTATGATTGAAAATGTCCTTGGTACATGTTTTCAACACTTCTGCTGTTGTATAGCTTTCCAGGAAACTCCAAGAACCTGCATCTTTTCTGCAGTCAGAACATTATTTCTACGTCCACATAAAATAAAGAATAATATTTACCAAGATGTCATAAAGACGTGTATCTATTTCTGCTTGCAGAGAACTGGGAGGAAGACTTGTTTCCTAAGTGTGCAGAGCATCATGATTACAGCCGCTGCTTCCTATGCTCCTCAGTATTGTCATCTATTACAATAGCTTGTTTAAATAATTTAAAAGTCAAGAGCTGAGCTGATTTCTCTTTTCAAAGCATTTTAGTATTTTTATATGGGGCTTCTCACTGTGAGACATGGTGGAAAAACAAGAAGCAATGAACAAAAGCCTGAAACAAGAGAGTTCAGACTGGATGTACAGAAGAGGAGAGTGCTGCTGTAGTGCAGGGGCTCAGACAGGTTTTACCTAGGAGGTTTTCAGTCACTGATCATATGAAGCCTTGAGCAACCTGGCCTCAAGGCTGGACCAGCTTTGGCAGGGGATTGGCCTAGAGACTGCCTGAGGTCTGTTCCAGACTGAATAATCCCATGATCCTACTTGTTCGTAGCAAAACTCCATCTGAATTTGAATTCTGTTGTGAATCCTTAGCACTTCCAGGTGTCTCACTGTGAGCCCTCAACAAAAAGAGGAACGTGTCATTCAGGGACTGATTTTGAACATGATTGGTTAAATAACTTTTCTGACACCCTTGAGGAATGCTGTGACTAAGACAAGATAGAATCCAACAATATAGAAAAATATACCACTTTCTCAGCTATGACACCCTCTTTATTTTTGCTGCCTCATTGTCAATATGTTGTGCAGCTTGTGCACCCAGTGAAGTAGGGAGCCAACAGATGCAGTCAGCAGCCTTCTTTACTGCATAATCCTTATTCGTTGTCTGGGAAGGTTTACCGGATGTACTAAATGAATAGTGTAGAACAATACTAGTTTGATGGCCATATTGGCTTAAAATGCTCATGGATGGGAAATTAAGATTGCAATAATTCCTTTACTTCCTGAGTTGTAATTACTTGCGGAACATAGAAATATTCTTAAATTACGCAGATCTGTGTTTTGCAATGCAATTTCCCTGTGTGCCACAAAGCAAAATAATTCAGTCTGTGGAGTTACAGACACTAACAGGGATTACCAATTAGAGCAGGTCCTTTAGCTGCTCGATGTGATATCTAGCAACTGAATAAGTAGATTTGTTCTTTATGGTTTCTGTTCTATACAGTAATTGCACCAGATGTAAGAGGCACACTTGTCTAAGGAGCTTTATGTCAAGAGTGTTGAGGCTTGGCTTTGGTTGTATCAAGAATGTTCTGAAGGAGACTGTTCTGCAACTCTCCCCTTCACTCCCTGTATTTCCCTGTTCTCTAGATTTTATATGCTTTTTCCTTTTCAACTCTTTTTCTGCTTTTCCATGTTTCTTACTGTCAAGTTTGGTCAGATTCTTTCTTCCTTCATATCAGTATATGTCAGTGGAGAAAGTAGAAAAGACAGTTTGCCTATTGTCAATTCTGAAGCTACTTTGTAAGTTTGACCTATGGTTGCAGAACAAATTCTGATCAATTCTTGGTGGCCTGAGTATTTAATACCTAAATATAAATGAATCTATATAATTTTTTTTATATATATAAAGCCAGTAAATTGGCAACGTTATTTTGGATGCTTTCTTGCAGGGACAACAGAAGGTTACTTGAAGCCTGTAGTGTTTTCTCAGGCCTCTTAATTTACTTCCCTCTTCATGCATGAGACACACCAAAAGTCTGGATCTTGGAAGCAAAAATTTACTTTGCACTTGCATGAGTAATGTGATAACACACGTAGGTGAAAGTCTGTGTGACAAGGGAATAATCTGAGTCAGTGCTTTCTAGCAGTACTCCTTTGAGTGTGGAACTCTGTTACGTAGACATTTCTTAGCTACGGTATTTTGGCTTCCTTCCAGCTGTGGGATTTTATACACAAGGCATAATTGGCCAAAGGGGGCCCTACTCTTACATGTGGAGGTATGGACAGCAGACACGAAATCGACATGTGCTACAAGAGCTTTAGCATATCAGCGATGCAGTTGGCAAGTGTGAGGCTTACATGTTTTGTGCAGACTTGATGGGTTTAGTTTTGAAAGATTTGAACTGACTCAGGCAAATGGCACGAAATACACACACAAAGTTTAACATTTGACAGTGCTGAAATTGAAGAACAAATTCTTGTAATGTTAAATATTTATCAACCTTATATGTGAGTGCCTGTCTTGCTTTGTGTGCAGTACAAAAAAACCTCCATGTATGCAATCTGACTTACTATTATGGGCTCTGCTCAACAGGAGTGATGATTTCTGTATAGCTGTTACCAGAAATTTATCTTGTTTGGTTTTTTTTTTGGTGGGGGGGAGGTGTTAAGATAGCCAGGGATCCCTGTGCATGTAGTATAATTAAAGGAAATACAATGTCTAAGTAGGCAAAGACATCAGAGCCTTGGTTCTGTAGCACTGGTGTTAATCGTTTGTGTGGGTTTTAAATAACAGGAACTATTACTCTTCATTTCAGCTCCAGGGACTGGAATGGATGGTTTCACTCTATAATAACAATCTGAATGGAATTTTAGCTGATGAAATGGGACTGGGAAAGACAATACAGACTATTGCACTCATCACTTACCTGATGGAGCACAAAAGACTCAATGGTCCCTATCTCATCATTGTTCCCCTTTCGTAAGTACAAGTAGAGGATCTCTTTCTGCTATTATCATTCTAAGCATTGCAGATTGGTTTATTTGGAACACACACTTGTTCTTCATGTAATGACAAGATGAGGTGCACAGTGGGATTACACTGAGCATGTATTCAGTGTTTTCTTTGATCGTTTCTTCCCAGGTAATTGTCTGGCACTGGAAGGGTGACCAGAAAGCTGACAAAGCACTTGATGCCATTAGTTTCACTGTCCACTGTTTTGGCAAAGCGAGTAGTGAATTTACTGTAATTCACTTGTAAGCCAGGAGAGCGGGATGGTATTTCTTTCATATTACATGTCTGTAGTTCCCCATTCAACTTCTAACTGTGGTACTAAAAATCTGTTGCTTAATTCTTTAAACAACTGGCACCCCATCTGATCCAAGTAATCATACTTTAATGAGGTCAGATGATCTTTTAAGTACTGTATAACTAGCCCTGGATGTAGGCTTGATGAGTGATAGTCACACTTTGGTCAGGTGTCCAGATTATGATTGTTTGTTGTGCTGCCCCCTTTTGCTTTTCCTTAGCTTTCCAAGATGCTGCTTGTTTTATACATTTCTTATAATTCATTTTCCTTTATCCAAAGGTGAGGTGTGGGTTTTAGTGATCTGTACTGCTGTGTTTTAAATAAAAATTGTAAAACTGATGTAGGATATTGAGGGGTTGTTTGCTTGTACTTGTGTGCAAGTAACTTCATTGATGTGCAGAAGTTCCCTGGCCTTTTTGTTAGAAAATGTGTCCACCGATTGTGCTGAGTGTGCAAATGTGTTGTAGGTTTGGGATAAATTTTACTCATGGCCATCTCTTTTGATTTCTTTTGAGGTATCCTGTCTTCTGGCTGTGCTGCAGTAGTAACTGATAACATAAATACCACAGCTGTGCCTAATTGTATGAATACAAATGATGAGGTCTAGTGTGAAAAAAAATGGCTGGGAGAAGATCTATAAAATAAATCAAAATTAAAAATAAAGGGAGAGTGTTATTAATGTCAGATTTCATACAGGCACACTAAAAAATCAGATTTCCTTTAGGTACTGTATAATTATTTTTCTTACATTTCTAAAAGAGAGGAGCTGAAATGTCTTTCTCGGATACATTTTAAAAGCCACCTTTGCCTGCCTTTTCTTAATAGCTAGTACTGCTGCCATCACAGGCTGAGTAAGGGGGGAAAAAAAAAGCAGCAACCAAAAACCTTAAGGTTATTTTTTGCTGCTGTATCATGATAGCAACTGGCTTAGCCATAAAAAACTATTTGTTGTGATCAAACAGCAGAAACACAGTGTGGAAACAGACCTGCATAGTGGCACTGGGTGGCACTATTAAGTAGTTCTACTGCAGTAGAACAAGATGAATTCTATTATCAACTTCATGAGGCTATATCTGAAAAGTTGTAACATCAGTTTTTGCAGGATAAGTAGTGTAAAAGAACTTACAAACCTATTTTTTGTTTAGGGTTATCTTTCTTATCCTTAATATGCTCCAAAATACAAAGATGCACGTAAAATACTAGTGTGAATTGATTTCAGGGAGGCCCCTGAACATAACCTGAAAGAGAGTTTCATACTTTTTTCTGTTTACTCGCCTGTCAGAGATGCTTGTATTTTATTACAGTATATAAAGTGCATTTTTTAAAATATACTGTTAATTATGGGGGTTGATTACATGAAATGTGTTGAAAAGTTGGCAATCACTTTGAAAGATTTATAAAGTTTGACCTGCAAATGACAAAATATATTACTTTTTCTTTATAATCTCTGTGATAGGACTTTATCCAATTGGACATATGAGTTTGATAAATGGGCTCCTTCTGTGGTGAAGATATCGTACAAGGTTTGATTTGCTTTTTATATGATTATAGAGCTGAAGGAATGAGAATAGAGCCAGTTTTTCTGCTGCCTCTGCATGCAGTTCTAAACTGTTTGCTCGTGAAGTTTTGTCATATGTATCAGGTACTAAGCAGTGAGAGTTAATCATACTAAGACGACGACTGTAATAAACTGTAATTACTTTCACACAGTGAAATGCAGAATAAAATTGTTAATTGTCATTGCAAGGCTTTTGATGAGAGTAGTACAGATGATAACTACTTCACATTTTATATATAGCTGAATACTGTGCTGTTCGGCTACTCTAGTAGTGGCATGGCCAAGCAATTTGTAAGGAGACTAGACAGCTAGCTACATGTTTCCAGTGCTCCATAAAGAGAGTTTTACAGTCTAGCAACCGTTTAGGGAAAGGTCTCTGAAGAATTCTGGAATACATTGATGTTTTGTTTGCAGTACTGTAGGATTACAAGTTCATGTCATTGCTCTGTGTCTGTTAATTCATAAAAATGATGTATTTTCTCCATCAGAAGAAAGAGTTAACTACTCACTTCTCTCTCTCTTTTAGGGTACACCTGCAATGCGCCGCTCACTCGTTCCTCAGCTTCGAAGTGGAAAATTTAATGTTCTTTTAACTACTTATGAGTACATAATAAAGGACAAACATATCCTTGCTAAGGTAGTAATGACTGTCATCTCTTAACAGCAAGACCTTCAAGACACCTTCAAATGGTGCATAGCACAAAACACATTTTTGTTTTACTGGGAAGTCTTGAGTAGTTGTTCTGTCCTTCAGTAAAAGTTAAACCTTTCATTTACTTTTCTCTGTTTATGATTGGACTTCTCAGTCATAGCTCTTCTCCCTGTAAACACCAGGATTTTCCTGAATGTGGCCAGGAGACTTAATTCATTTGTGCAGTTCTGTCAGTACTGTATACTTGCCTGTCCTTGGAAAAACATGAGTTTTCTCCCCTCTGCTTAATGGCATTTAACCTAATCTGCAGTCCTGACTTCATTTTTTTTCCCATTGTTTCTAACCTGAAGCTCACTCTTACTAGAGCCTTTCCAGCTATGTGGTCACTTTTCCCCAAATTACTAAATAGTTACCTGTATCATGAGTTTGGTATCCAGACTCTTTACCACACATGGCCCAGTTCTTAAATGTTCACTAACTGTCAACAGGTGTGCCTCAAATCTAATGAATTAATTTGAAAGCTGCTGTACTGTAAGACTGTTTCACGTACACACAAAGCAGACTAAGCAGGTGTTTTGCCATATGGAGAAACCATCTGGTCCTACTGTCCCTTTGTTGTTCATTTTCACTTTATTTCATTCTATTACACACTGTATATTTAGATTATTCATTTTTCCTCTCTAATATGAAGGCAGTGCATTTTCTTAGTGTAATTCTGAACACTTGAGAGCAGTTTGAGACTGCAGCGTTTTCATTCCCCTCTAGTTTTTGCTCACCCTTGCTGAAAGATAGGAAGGACAGCACTATGCCATTCATTTCGTCCTGGGAAAAGGAATTAGTTAGCACCTATGGAAGGACAAACCGAGGCCTTCCTAGTCATATGGTCAGTGTAGCACATGAGTTGACTGCCCATGTTGTAGTACAGGTGCTAACAGAGAGCTTGAGCAACTTTCTTTCAACATCTGCTGTGACTGCATTTAAGCTATCACATTAAGAAGTAGAAACTGTATTTGAAGATGCAGTAACTGACATGAGGTGATTGTAATTATGCTGCTTTGTTCTTGAGTAAAAACATAGGATTAGCTGAAACAAAACTCAGTTCAGGGTTACTGTTGTTTGTTAGCATAGCTATTTTGTCTGAAAATGCTTTTGTCTCTTGTCAAGGTTCTTGTTGCAGACAGGTTTATTTGGAGTTTATGTGGTCTCTTTCTTCCCCTGTGAACTATATTCTGGCCTTGAAGAGCCGGTCACGCTAATCTCTTTCCCAAAAATGGGAGGAATCCACTGTTTGCTGTTGCAATTCAAGTCAGAATTCAGCATCAGATTCAGCATACCGAGTGTTTCTATTTTTGCTGCTTGCAAGGGCACTAGTACTTGGATAATGCTTGGTTTGGCTTTTCTCATAAATGAGAATGGCTGATTGCTTAGGCTTGAAATATTCTTGTTCTGCTCTTGTTCTGTTCAGTTGTTGGGAGGAATTTGACTAAGTCTGACATGCTCGTAACTTTGCCAAATTTTCTTCCTTTTCTTGCAGATTCGATGGAAATACATGATAGTAGATGAAGGCCATCGAATGAAGAACCATCACTGCAAGCTGACTCAGGTCTTGAATACTCACTACGTGGCCCCTAGACGAATACTGCTGACTGGGACTCCACTGCAGAACAAATTGCCTGAACTTTGGGCTCTTCTCAATTTCCTCCTCCCAACCATTTTCAAGAGCTGTAGCACCTTTGAACAGTGGTTCAACGCTCCATTTGCCATGACTGGAGAAAGGGTACTGTGGCTTTTTTTTTAAAAAAACATCAGAAACAAACCAGTTTGGTGAAAACAGAAAGATGCTTATACAGAATGATTAGTGTTTGAACTCTCCCTGGTACTTAGGGAATTAACGTAACCAAAAGCCACGTTTTTTATATAATGCCAGAAAATGTTAATCTCGGTGTCTTTTTTGAGTTGGAATCAGTTTGGTTGTAACATGCAAGTAATTCTTGTACATACTTAACCCTTCATGTGGGAGAAGACATTGTCTAATATACTGAGTTGCCTTGTAATGACTTTTATAAACTTCTGTAGGTGGACTTAAATGAGGAAGAAACTATTCTGATCATCCGTCGTCTCCATAAAGTGCTCCGACCCTTCTTGCTGAGGAGATTGAAGAAAGAGGTTGAGTCTCAACTGCCAGAAAAGGTTTGCAATGAGAGGAGTTGTGGAAGGGGTTTAATACTTTTTTTATGCGTTATGTAATGTTTCTTTTTCAGATTTATTTAACAGAAGAGAACTTCTTTAGCATCTGTTGTTACTGTGGTTTGTTTGTGTATAACTCTGCAAAGAAAGTTTTTGCAACTGAGGAGTATCAGAGGAAAGTTGCCACTGAGGAAGCCTGAATACCTGAAGTTTCTGCATTCTCAGGATTCCTCACCAGTCTTACAGCTTTAATTCTGTCTGTAGTCGTCCGTATGAGACATGCAGCTTGTTTCCGTATAATACCTGCTTTCAAGCTGTGAGTCAGCCGTACAGTGATGGTTAGATTCTGTCCTGTCCCATCCTCCCTCCACTGGGTAGAACCTTTGCCCCCTTAGCTAGTTCACTGAAATCCCTGAAGGACTACTGGACTTTATAAAGCAGGCAGAATATGGTTCTGCATTAATATTCCAGGAGTTGTGTGAAGTGTCTTGTTGAAATTGCAGAATTTTTTTCTAACTAGTGTCTTTTCAGTTCAGAACATAAAATTCTCTTCTGATTTGAAAGATTGTTGTTTTAATCTCTGGGCAAGTCATCTTGCCCCACCCTGTTCTCCTCTGCAATCCTGCATTACTTTTCCCATTCACCCTTCCCAGAATAACAACAGCAACTAAATAAAAAAGTAGATTTGAAGGTGTGCTAGGGAAAATTTGGTGCTAAGGACAACTGATTTAAAACCATACCAAAATGAGATTTTGGTAAGTTATGTTATGAGCTGACTAACACTGGCTGAATGGATGAAGAGCTGTGTACAGATGCTTAGTGACAGTACTCAAAGGAAAGGCTTTTTAAAAAATTCTTTCTCATCTCTATAACGTTGTGAACACTATTACTGTTGTGACTTTCTGTTCCTTCAAATGTCAGATTCTCAGTATCCTGAGTAGCACTTATTTGAGAATGAAACATACATACACTTAAAAATATTACTGAAATCTTTATTTCTATTCAAATTTTTGCCACTTAGAGCCACTGTATTTGATAAATCCATTAATTGGCATTGGAGGAGGAGTATTTAGAAGTTGCATACACATTGGTACTCAGAGGACTATGTTTCTTTCTGTTTCTATTATCTTCTTCACCAAAAAAGCAATTAGTCCAACCATGAGGACCGCACTTGTTGACCGAAGTCTGTTAATGAGTTTCATTCGATCTTAAAATTCTTGGTAAAGAAGCCATTGAAGAAACAGTCACTTCTCTTTAATGAGTTCACCTTTCCACCTTTCTGAGAAGAAAATAACCAGATAATTTTTATTCCATTTATTTAATAAACATTATAGAATCATAGAATCGTTTGGTTGGAAAAGACCTTTAAGATTATCCAGTCTAAACCATTAACCTAACACTACAAAGTCCACCACTCAAACAGTTAAGGGTAGAGTAATAATTAATTTCATGTTTTCTGCTTGGTGGCTGGATTATTTTTTAAGGAAAGTAAAACTAGGAATCATTAAGGTTGGAAAGGACCTCGAAGATCATCACTCCAACCATCAACCCAACACCACCATGTCCACTAAACCATGTCCCAGAGTGCCACATCTACACATTTTTTGAACACTTCCAGGGATGGTGACTCCACCACCTCTCTGGGAAGCCTGTTCCAATGCTTGACCACTCCTTCCATGAAGAAATTTTTCCTAATATCCAACCTAAACCTCCCCTGACACAGCTTGAGGCCATTTCCTCTCGTCCTATTGCTAACCGCTTGGGAGAAGAGACCAACACCCACCTCACTACAACCTCCTTTCAGGTAGTTGTAGAGAGCGATAAGGGCTCCCCTCAGCCTCCTCCAAACTGGACAATTCCAGTTCCCTCAGCTGCTTCTCATACGACTTGTTCTCTAGACCCTTCACCAGCTTCATTGCCCTTCTCTGAACACGCTCCAGCACCTCAATGTCTTTCTTGTAGTGAGGGGCCCAAAACTGGACACAGTATTCCAGGTGTGGCCTCACCAGTGCCGAGTACAGGGGGACAGTCACCTCCCTGCTCCTGCTGGCAGCACTCTTCCTGATAGAAGCCAGGGTGCTGTTGGCCTTCTTGGCCACCTGGGCACACTGCTGGCTCATGTTCAACCATTCTCCACAACTCTCTGGGCTTGGCCATCCAGCCAGTTTTTTACCCAGTGAAGAGTACACCTACCTAGGCCATGACCCACCTGCTTCCTTTAGGAGAATGCTGTGGGAGATGGTGTCAAAGGCTTTACTAAAGTCCAGGTAGATGACATGTACAGCGTTTCCCTCATCCCCCCTGGCAGGTCACCAGGAGATAGAAAGAGATCAGGTTGGTCAAGCAGGACCTGCCTTTCATGAACCCATGCTGGTGGGGCCCGATGCCCTGGTTGACCTGCACTTGCCTGTTGAGTGCGAGCGCACTCAATATGATCCGCTCCTTAATCTTCCCTGTCACCGAGGTCAGGCTGACAGGCCTGTAGTTCTCTGGATCCTCCTTCTGGCCCTTCTTGTAGATGGGTGTCACATTGGCAAGTCTCCAGTCTTCTGGGACCTCCCCTGTTAACCAGGACTGGTGATGGATGATGGAGTGTGGCTTGGCAAGCTCCTCTGCCAGTTCCCTCAGTACTGTTGGGTGGATCCCATCTGGCCCCATAGATTTGTGAGTGTCCAGGTGGAGTAGCAGGTCATTAACTGCTTCCTCCTGGATTCTGAGGGCTTCATTCTGCTCTCTGTGCCTGTCTTCCAGCTCAGGGAGCTGCATACTCTGGGCATAACTGGTCTGACTATTAAAGGCTGAGGCAAAGAAGGCATTGAGTACCTCAGCCTTTTCCTCATCCTTGGTGGCAATGTTCCCCCCTGCATGCAATAAAGGAAGCTTATGCTTTTTCTTTTAATCACCACTCAAAAGATTTCTAGCCACTCGTGTGGCTTTATTACATGATCTTTTTTATTTTACATAACTTATCAAAAACATAGTGACTGTAATCTGGAAATTGGGTAATAGAAAAAAATGGGTTAAGGTGGGGTATGAAGTCTTTGTATTACTGGATTTAAAGATAGTGTGCCGTCAAAAACTGCTTTAATGAATGTAGCTTTACAAAGCTGAACAAGATGTCAAGCTGAGTGTGAGGTTCATACAGTACTTGATTAATTCCCTGTGTTTTTAGGTGAAGTTGAGAAAATGGTGTATTTCTATGCCAACCTAGGTAAGCATAATAGTAATTAGACACAGTGAGGGATGCTTATTTGTTAGGTATGCAAAGATGATATTTTTATAATGCTTTGGTTGATATTCTTACAATGCTTTACAGACATAATAAAGTCCACAAGTTATTAAACATAAAATTTCTTTTTAATTACATGTTAAATGTAAAATGTTAAAAAAATGAATTTTCAATTACTTTTTTAAATTGTTAGAATTGCAGAATGAGAAAAAAATGTTTGGCAATTCTGCAGTTACATTCTTAGGATCCAACTGTCTCATAGTAGTTGTGACTCTCACAGATAATCTTTTGATGTACTCATTGCTGTGCTTGCACTTGGATTTCTGCTCACTGAAATCATATGTGATGTTAGGGTACAGATCAAAGATCAGTTGTTTTTTGGTTTGTGTTTTAGGATGACAAGAACGTGCAGTTAGATCCTGCTAACATTATTATGTCAATATGTTTACGGTTGGTTTTCTTTTTTTGCACTAGGTGGAATATGTGATAAAATGTGATATGTCAGCTCTTCAGAAGATCCTGTACCGTCACATGCAAGCCAAGGGAATCCTTCTCACAGATGGTTCTGAAAAAGACAAGAAGGTACAAAAAAAAAGACTAGAACACATAAGAAGCAATGTATTATGATTAAACATGTTAACAATATGATTTCTGTTTTACAAAATTAGTACGTAGACTCTTAGTGCAGGTATCTGTCATGGAAAAAGAAATCTTTATCAGACACGCTTTTGTTTTACAAGACTGCAGCTTGTGGTCTCTATTCACAGGAGAAAGATACTGCTTTTGTTCACTGTAGTTACACCTTTCTGCAAACAGGCAATGTTTGAAAAAACCCAGTATTTCCCTTGGCCGAGTTTAATCCAATAATGTACCTGAGTAATTGTGATTGTAGTAGTGGTGGCTACAGAAGGTTATTTGTCTTCTCTTTCAGAGCTATTAGTTAAATATGTCTTGCTTCAGCCAGCTAGGGCTGTATGCTTGCATTCATACTTGTAAGATCTGTTAATGGCAAAGTTCTTCAAGAGAACAACAGTAGGATTCCAAGTCGTACAGATTTAGACTATGTATTAGTAAACGTTGATTATGCCATCATGGGACTTAATCCAGTTAATATAGAGTAAACAAGTTGCCATTCATCAGGTTATTTGTGTATATACACTTTTCACATTATAATAAATGTGAAATACCTGGAATAGGTACTGCAGAACAGCTGGTGTGTAACAGTTTGTGTTTGCACCCTGTTATGTGTATATTACTGATGCAGTGCAATCACATACTGTCTTCCCACCATCCTTTTGCAGGTTGCATTGGTACAATGGATGACTTTTTTTATTCAGTAACTTATTTTACCATCCTTGTTTGTGTAGTCAGATTGTTTTCTTGCTGGTGCTTATTCAAACTCCGACAAAGCTGGTTCTTGTCATTGGGTATTGACACTCATCTTCATAGTCTGAACACTTTGTAAACATTAATTTCTGTTCCTCTGTTGTATTTTTGATGTAATTTTGTAGTTTGATGTCCTTACGTTTGTCCTACAAATTTCATTTTGTTTCACAGTCTCCTACTTCCTTCCCTTTCTGGTCTTTTTCTTCTCTTTCACCAACTCAGAATCTTCTGTCAGTTTTCCCCTACTTGCTTCTCCACTCAGCTTTTTGCTTAACCAGTTCAAATTGCCTTTGCTGTCTTATGAACACCTCCCTCTCCTTCCCCTCTCCCCAAGGGTCTAAAATTTTTCCTTTCTTGCCACCCTGTCTTAATGAATTTTTTTCTTTAACTGTTTCATGAGGCTTTCTTATCCATGCTACCTGTTGCCAGCAGAAGGAGGTGGTTGTTGAGAATGCTTGGCTTCAGTGATCAAGCAACTGCTGTGTCAGGGAAAAAATCCTGTCTTTCTGCAGCTCTGGCCTGGAACCAGCTCAGACTAGAGAGAATTCTTTAAGCTGGAAAGCTCTAGGAAGTGACTCTTAGAAGAAATATGAACTGCATTTTGGAGCAAATTTGAGAGGATTTTGAAAAAAAAACAAAACCAAGTTTTAGATGTGTCGAGTACCCCCTTCAAACATAAAATCTCTGCTCTAGGTGGAAGTTATGATTTTGCTGTACTTGCCAGGAAAGAGTAGAATATTACTAGCATATAATATGATCAAATAGTGTACTTTTCCTCAGTTTCACTATTGGAAATAGCTAAATTGTTCAGACTAAGATTTCTAAAATAAATCTGAGTTAATCATACAGTAAGCTTGGAATATTGTGGTCACTCTGATTACATTTTCATAAAATTACAACAAAGTAAAGTGGCATCTGAAAACGACAAGTGTTTGGCAATGTTAATATGATATGATGTTCTCAAACTTGTATCGACCAGTTGCAATTAGTTTTTAACCATACAGTGTAGGCTAGCACAACTGACTATTATCTGAAGTCTGGACTCATTCTAAAAAAAGATTCACTGTAGAGTAGGTTTTGAGAATATGTTTTGTTAAACATTGACTCACAAGATTTGGTTATCTCTAGCTCTTTAGCTGCCTGTGGCCCTGTATTTCACTTGGCTTGGAAAAAGAAACGCATATATCTAGTTAACAGATGGGAGGAGATACTGTAGAATTAAAAAGCATCCGCCTAGAATAGCTTCCTGTTAGAAGTTTCAGACGAGTTGGAATGTATGTTTCATAATAAACAGTATAAATAAGCAGTATGCAGGACAGCAAATGCTCTGCTTCCCACTGTGAATACTGCAGGTAGAAATGTTGTGCACTTTGTGGATTACTTCCAGGTCTTCCTTTTTTGTTGCAGAGCATCCTTATGATAGATGAATTTATACAGCAAGACAACTGCAAAGTGGCTTCTGGTTTTTTGTTCATGGGTTTTTTTGTTTATTTTTTTTTAATTAGTGCTATGGTGTTCAGGTTTGGGGTAGAAGTGGTTTTATGTCTGCATTTAAAAATGTCTTTCAAAAGCTTCATTAATAAGCTAAGAAATTAGATTAATCATTTGATTTGCGTTGTTTGTACCCATAGGGAAAAGGTGGGGCAAAAACTCTTATGAACACTATCATGCAATTGAGAAAGATATGCAATCACCCATACATGTTTCAACACATTGAGGTAAGACCGACAGGTTTGATTTTGAGAGTTGTTTTTATTTAGATGGCTAACATAATAGAAAACTGCTGTTGAAGCTTATGTTTGTGGGAGAGGACATCTCTGTCCACATCGTTTGTGCTGAAAAGGACGCATTTGAAAACCACAGTGATTATGGTCCGTTATTTTTAGAAACAAATGGACCAACCACCAGTTTTTTATTGGTAATTTGAAGTCTAGTTTTAAAGCATTTAATCTTGTGGAGGCACTGTCTTTGAAAAATGAAGTTCTTTTTAATTTAAGACATTCCAGAGCAACTTAATCTCTACTTAGACCTAATTTATGATGTAAAGACACTAGTTCAAAATGCCATGTGTAGGATCTTTATAACTAACAGGCTGCTAATCTTTTACAATATCAACCAAAATTGTCCTATTCTATCCACCTTGTTTTTTCAGCAGAAATGTACTATCTTTATAGCATTGCTCATTAGGACCCAAAGTACATAAATATAATGATATATCTGGAAAGACAGAAAGTGCCATAAATATCTGGAATGTAGCTACATTTATGAATAAATAATTAAGTACCTACTGTGATGTATTATCATTGTAGTTTTCACTCTTTTGTTCTCTTGTATGCTAATTAATTAAATTGAGTAATTTGCAAATGGATCTTCCAGTAATTAGTATAAATTAACTATATTCTACTGCACTTGTAATCTGGTAAAATGTATGCTGATGGAAGTTATTTCTGCAAACCGTGAATTTCAAATAGTAGTAGTACAGGAAGACATGAAGCAGAGGACTGTTGCTACAAGGTGGATTCCAAGAGTATGAACATAGTGGTACTCAAACCTCATATATTTAATTTCATTGATAGAAGAATGCATAATTTTGGGTTACTCTGTTGTTTGTAATAATCTGTTTGTTGCTTCTAACTCTGCAGGAGTCCTTCGCTGAACATTTAGGCTACTCAAATGGTGTCATCAACGGGTAACTCTTTCTCTTTTTCCTCCTGTTCATAATGTTGTATTGGAACTAAAGTATCACGTTCTTTTTCTAGAAGGTACATGCTAACAAACTCAAGCAGTTTATAGAAAGGCAGAGGTGGCACAGGGCACATATCTAAAGCAAAATATAACGGTACTAGAAGTGTTATATGAGCTTTTTGTGACCCTCTGTCTCTTTCAGGAGGACAGGTAGAGAAGATTGTAAACTGATGTCTTCCTTTTCCCTTATTTTGAAATAGCTTAGATACCATCTGAAATTCATTGGAATGACTCTTCAGAAATATCAATTGGGATTTTCTTCTTTCTTGTTAATTTTGCCTTCTGCTTTTCCCTCTTTACCATCTTTGTTCCAAATTAGAGTAGCATTTCTTCTGTTATTTGAAATGAAATATTTAAATTTTGTTCTTGGCACTTCTTTGTGCTACTGTCTAGAAATGAATGCTTTCTAAAGGAAAGGTGTGTATCTTCCACCTGACCCACTTCCTGTTCAGGTGTTAATGACAATTCTTTTTTTTTCCTTAACTAGTGTAACAGACTATTTGTCTCCATAACTAGTATATCAGACTACTTGTCTCCTAAAGAGTTTAGTCTTTTGCTGATTACATATGTATGCATATCAGAAGGCCATGTATCTTGTGGACTTAAGTGTACTGTTGCCAATGATAAATCGTGTTCTGAGAGTACTGACTCAAGGTTAGGAAAAAGCTATGTGGAATTTGTTTTTATAAAGCATATCACTGTGATGCTGATTTAGACATCCTGTTTACTTTTATTCATTTTCTCAGCTACAGCTTGAATTTCAGTGCTAAGAGTCTGTTTTGCAATTCATAGCATAGAAGACAGAAGAGCAGCTAATCAAAGCAACTAAACATTGTTCAGGACTACTAAGGTTATATGGCTAAAGAGTATATCCTCTGTCAAACTCCTCCCATTATCTCTGTATATTAGTTCAGATTGGAATATTTCACTTTCATGTGCATAGTAGTTGAGTGGAAAGGGAATTGTTTCTAACACGTGCCTGATGAGTACAACTTACAGCTGCAGTGAATGCCAGTTGAAAGCAGAACTAGCAGGTGAATGTCTTAACTGATAAAATGCTTATCTAGCTGAGGAATAATGTTTGTTTTGATAAATAATGAAACAGAATTGAGTTTCCTAAAGGAAGGTATTCTGTGTGGTTGAAAGTCCACACAGGTTTTGTAATCAAAGAAAAATCCTTTTCAAACAGGAATTCACATGGGTGTTTTATGTTTTTTATTTTAATCTACATAAAAATTTTTTCAAGAGAGGAAAGTGCTATTGGTCATATTTATCTTAGGTAAATTAATCTCTCTGTTATACTCTGACATAATAATGACTAAAAACTTTTCTAAATGTGGGTTCATTCTGGCATTTACTGTGCTTTTTCTCTTCAACAGAGCCGAACTTTATCGGGCCTCAGGGAAGTTTGAGCTACTCGATCGTATTCTACCAAAGTTACGAGCTACTAACCATCGTGTGCTTCTTTTCTGTCAAATGACGTCACTCATGACCATTATGGAAGACTACTTTGCCTTTCGAAATTTCCTTTACCTGCGTCTTGACGGTAAGCTAAATGAAAATAGAAGGATAAATAAGAAGTCAGGAGGTAGCATGCTTCATTAGTCTGGGCGTGAGAGAGCTGGGTTCTGTTCCTAGTGTCTTCCTAGCACACCAGTGCTGTGATGTGACTATACAAAAGCATAAACAGGTTCAAAAAATGATTTGACAAATCCATGAAGGAAGAGTCTGCAAGGGTATTTATCATGAAGTCATGGCAGTAGACCCTTAAGATGCAGCTTCCTAGAATTTTCCCTGTTCTTACAGACAAGGTATTGAGCAAGACGTACTTTTGCCTTTCTTGGTAGAGTTGATCTTAAGTAATTCTCCATCTCCCTGGCTCTGTGACTGTTTCTTTTCCTCTGTTTAACCTCCAAACCATTTGGTCAAGGGATTGTTTTGATGAACAGTCAGGTCTGTTCCTGGAATGCAGATTATGTAGAGGTTTGGTGTTTAGGGGCTGATCTCTTTTTCAAACAAAGTTTAAAATCCAAGCTCCCAATCAGTTACCACTATTTAAGTTGCCTGAAAGTATTGTCCTGGTGAGAGATGATAATGCCAGTGTTTTGCCTAGATTCCTGTAGAATTAATTAATTTGTACCTGTTGATAGTTCGACTGCTGTTCTCCACAGGATAGCTGAATTTCAGTGACAGGTAAAGTAGTACCTGTAACTTTCTTCCTGAATTTCACAAGAAGGTCAGTAGCCTCAATTACTTTATGTGTAGGTATGTTTTATTACCTTTGAATGAAAAGATGGTTTAGAAACATAGTGGGGTAATACTGAAAAGAAAATAACTAAAAATAGGATATCCCATCTGAGGTTTTAACCTGTTTGAAAAAAGTTTCCATTTTGGTCTTTTTCCATGTTGATAATCTCTGCCTCATACTGACCTTCTTAAATATTGATTATTTTTACTTGATATATTTATCTCAGACATTATAATATTACATGGGGCCAGCAGCACTTATCAGAATACCTTTTTAATAGAAAAGCAATGATTTAAGAAAAATACAAAGAATGGCATTAATAAAGTGAGAGTTTAAGGTCCGTTTGAATATTCTTTTTACAGCATTTTAAGTTGACTCCTGCTTTATTTGGAAGAAAAAGTAATGCTGAGAAGTATTCTTGTCCTTTACAAATATTAATGAACATAAACTTGAAACGCTATTATCCTCAAATGTAAAATGCGGTAATAAAACTGAGACACAAATGAGCTGTCTCACTGTGCCACAAGATGTCTTTGTCAAAACTGGCTGAAGAACATAGTACCATGCTAACAAAAGGCTCCTTGCACCTCTGGCCTGCAGGCGTTTTAACGCTTCCAGTCAAGGAAGATGAATTATATTACATTTAAAATGTTTTGGGTTACCTTACACCATGTATTTTAAAATGAATTCTTTTTCATACTAGAATGTCTATGGCAATACACAGTATGGGAAATACAGCTCCTTGTTTTCTTTATGGTTTTGCAAGTAATTCATTAAATTAGTGAGATGAACCCTTTTATTTTCTTTTCCAGTTTTGTGATGACAGATACCTTCCATGCTGGAATGTAATATATATGTAGATTCTGTCCAGCTGTCTTCTCACATAGAATGTTTTCTACCTAAGTCATGTGCTTCTTAAGGGAATGGGTTTCTGTGGGCCAGCAGTTTGGCTGTGTGACTGTGCTGGGTCTGGCTGGGATGAAGTTAACTTTCCTCCTAGCTCCTGTATAGTGCTGTGCTTTTTATTTGTGGCTAGGCAGGGTTGATAACACACCAATGATAACACTCCGGTGTTTTGGCTATTGCTGAGCAGTGCTTGTGCAGTGTCAAGGCTTTCTCTCCAAACTACCCCTCCACCACCAAGGCCAGTAGGCTGCGCGTGAGCTGGGCGCCAGCTGGGACAGCTAACCCAAACTGACCAAGGGGATGTGCTTAGCAATAAAAGCTGAGGGAAAGGAAGAGGATACAGGGACATTCCTCGTTACGGCATTTGTCTTCCCAAGCAATCATTATGGGTGCTGAGGCCCTGCTTTCCCGAAGTGGATGGACATCTGCCTGCTGATGGGAAGTAGTAAATAAATTCCTCTTTTTGCTTTGCTTGCATGCACAGCTTTTGCTTTTATTAAACTGCCTTTATGTCAGCCCAGGAGCTTTTCTATCTTATTTTCTCCCCCTGTACTGTTGAGGAGAGGCAGGGGTGTGTGTTGGGGTGGCATCTAGTGGCCAGCTGGGGTGAACCCACCACAGTAATAGAAAAACTCCATCTCCTGTACTTATACACCTGAATAAAAATAGCAGACTTACTTTGGCTTTCAGTTACAGACAGAAGTGTAAAAAAGATAAGACAAACGGTGGACCAGGCTAAGGTGATCCCCACAGACGGTTGTTGAAGTATGTGAAATTCATCCAGTCACCAGAGTGCATAAGGGCTTGGTTTTTACTTAGAACTTTGCTTTTTCACCATGATTGAATTCCTTGCCTGCTTTCCCTCAGCCATTGTACACCATCACCCTCAAGATAGGACATTTTAAGAATTTTCAATCCTTTTGTATTAATTACAACTCTGAAGGCCAACACTGACATTTTGATAAATCTGTATATAAGTAACTTTTAAAAATAATTATATGCTGTTGTGGCCAGAAGGCATTAATCAAAACTGGAGCTCTCTTGCTTGTGTATAGTAGTTTCAGTTGAAATTTATGTGAGTCGTAAAAAGGTATAACAATGTTAGCCAGCATTTTAAAGTTCACTTTTGAAATGTCAAAAGAAAAAAAGAGGTATTTAGAAGTCCACCTCTTACATGGGGTAGCAGTTGACCAAAACATTTGTGGCCAGTGTTTATTCTGTATTATGGAAAACGTGGCAGAGATGGCAAAGAACAAGTGAGCTAAAATTTCCCTTCCACACGTACCTTTAGCAACTGACATTGTATTTATATTATTTCAGTTCACATCTTTGTTACAGGGTATTTTTTTTTATTTCTTTTCAGGCACAACAAAGTCAGAGGATCGAGCTGCTCTGTTGAAGAAGTTCAATGAACCTGGGTCACAGTACTTTATCTTCTTGCTGAGTACACGGGCTGGAGGGCTAGGCTTAAATCTCCAGGCTGCTGACACTGTTATAATCTTCGATAGTGACTGGAATCCTCACCAGGTTATTTTTATTTACTTGTCTTTATGAAATGCACAAAGAATTCATGGTATTTTTTTGGGTTGCTCCTTTAAATTGGGGATATAGGCTGGGGTGAAAGGAATAGAAAGGTAAGTCATAAAATGCTGCTTTGAGAGGAATTAGTGAGGCAAACTGCTACAATCAGGAAATGTTTTGGTTTGAATCAGTGAAGTAATTCTGTGTTTGTATATATTTCTTATCTGAGTCTCAGGGAATCCTCAGAGCTAGGGCCCTTACAGACCTGCCTCATTCATATAACTACTCATTCTTTAACCCTTAGGACATTAATAAGTAACTTCCCATTTTGAGTCTTTGGTAAGTAGGTTGCAATATTTTAGTAAAAGCTGTGCAGAGTGCTGCCTGTCTCAGGAAATTAGTGGCTGTATGAGTGCAGCACTCTTGGCCTGAGACATGGAACTTACACTGTTGGTGTGGGTGGGTAGCAGTAAGTACAGATCACCAGGGAAGAGGATATCAAACCACTTTGGCTTATTTAAAAAAGCCAGAAGAGGTAACTAAAGTCTGTCTTGTCACTTAGTGCCTTTTTTTTTTTTTAAAAGAACATAAGTTAGATATCTCTGGAAGTACATAGCTATGTGTCTATTTTCAGCTATTATGCAAATATATGCAAATCACATCATAGTCAATGGCCACATGTAAAAGTAAGGGAAGTGAGACTAAAAGAGTTTTATATAGAACTTGCAAGGCAGCATTCGCATAGGTGCTATGGTGGCCAATTTTAAGCAAGGCTTAAGAAGCTTGGAGCAATTATATTTAGAGATTTTAAAAGCAGCTCAGAACACACTTAATTCTTTGTATCTTTAGTTCACTTTCACAGACAAGTTTAATGCAGAATACTGTATATTTCAACAGCTGGCTAGCAGTAAATCATTGCAGTATAGTAAAAATTACAGAATATTTTCTGGAGTATTCAATAGGCAGATTGCTAAGTTACAAAATCATAGAATCATTTAGGTTAGAAAAGACCCTTAAGATCATCAAGGCCAACCATAAACCTAATGCTGCCAAGTCCACCACTAAACCATGTCCCTAAGTGCCACATCTACACGTCTTTTAAATACCTCCAGGGATGAGGACTCAAGCACTTTCTGGGCAGCCTGTTCCAATGCTTAATAACCCTTCTGGTGAAGAAATTTTTCCTAATAGCCAATCTAAACCTCCCCTGGTGCAACTTGAGGCCATTTCCTCTCATTCCATTGCTTTTTACCTGGGAGAAGAGACCTACACCCACCTTGCTACAACCTCCTTTCAGGTAGCTGTAGAGAGCGATAAGGTCTCCCCTCAGCCTCCTTTTCAACGCGTGTGGTTTCTCTTCTCTGGCAGATGGTAGTGATTTGTTCATTTTAATCAGCAGTGTGCTAAAAGGAGATAGCTGGGGCAGTGGGGCGGATAACACAGTGTATTTCCAGAAATAAAACCTTCTGTTTCCTCACTTCACTATTTTCCTGTGCTTCTGAGAATGATTATATAAACAAATTCGTATTGTAGCTTCATCTTTAACTGTTAATGCAAACTTCAAAAACACCTTTAGGTTGTAGCAGCAGCAGGGGCATCACATGTAGTGCTTGGGAAGGGAATTGTGGGAGGGAAGAGCTGACAATGGTAGCAAAAGCAAGGTGCTGGACTGAAATAGGCAAACTCATTGCCTGTTTTCTTTTTTTTTTCTCTACATTAAGACATTTCTATGTTGTGAGGTAGCACAAAACTTTGAGGTTAGGTACCCTTCATTATCTGATATGCTGAAGTAGAAACACATCATTTATAGGAATTAGCGGATTTGTCTTTTCCCCAAAGAAAATAGGTAAGATTTTGAATTAATAAAATAAATTCTTTACCTACGACCTGCAGTGTACTTTTTACTTCTTCCATTTCTAAGTACAGTCACCTGACCAAAAAATACTTACGTTGATTCGCAGTCTTGTATATATGAACTTTCAGTCGGGGAGATTGTATTTAAGCTGTTTTAACAGAAATACTGCAAGTTAAAAGCCTATTCAACAGATCAAGTAATTTTTTGTTAACATGTTTAAGAATTAGCTACGGCCTTTAGTAGGTAAGTTTATGTATGGGTTTTTTCCTAGTAATTTTTTTGCTTTCTTTTCCTGCAGTCAAGAGATATTTTACTTTAGGGTTCATTCTGGCTTGGAAAGCCATGACCTTTCAGCCCTTCTCAGTCACTGCACATACTTTCAAGAAGTTTTTGGCGTACTGTATTTACACTGTACAGAGCATGTCCATGTTTTTTCCTTTCAGTTTTCCCCCTACCTGGGTCTGATGAAGTTTTGGGAAAGAAAACAATGAGGAGTGAATCATGTGAATTGTGGTGGTCTGTCATTTGAGTACTTCCCTTTTTATACCAGAAGGAATTCAGCATTGTAATGTCCTTTAAGCAGACAATGATTTCTGTAGCACACTTAGCAGTATAGATCACTCTCTGTGTTCTTTGCCTAATAGGACTTGCAGGCCCAAGATAGAGCTCACCGAATTGGTCAGCAGAACGAAGTTCGAGTCCTGCGACTGTGCACTGTGAACAGTGTGGAAGAGAAGATCCTTGCTGCTGCAAAGTATAAGCTGAATGTAGATCAAAAAGTTATTCAGGCTGGAATGTTTGATCAGAAATCTTCAAGCCATGAAAGGAGAGCCTTTCTACAGGCTATATTGGAGCATGAAGAAGAAAATGAGGTAAGTTAGTTAGAAATAATCAGTGAGAGGATGTTTCAGGAAGTACTGAGTCATTTTTTTCATCAGGTACAAAGATTGTCATCTCCTTTGACATTAGAAATGTCATCATATTCTTACCATCCAGTCAAAGAAACAACTTCATTTTTCTTTTTTTTTTGGTCACAGTAATAGGTTATAATGTGATGGCTATGATGTAATGGTTATGATTAAATCTTAGTGTAGAATTAGGCATTGTAACTTAAACCCATTCCACCCTTTCATAATTTTGGCAAAAAAATTGTATTCAAAGAAAGATTTTTTCAAAAAATTCATAAAACAGTTCCTAAATCCAGTTTGTATGTTAAACTAGGTAATCTGATTTTCAGACATGGTGAGCAGCTAGCACTACCTAGGTTCAATCATGAAAGACCCTGCTTACTGTGCTTCTTTTGGATCCTGGGTAAGAGTTAAGATCTGCTTTGATGTGCTTAGGGCTTAGGGCAAGCCAACAAAATAACTGGTTCTTTCTGGTCCTGTGTCCAACCTGGACTTCTGGTTACCACTTCCTCTTCAAGAAACAATTAGCTGTTTAAAAACAGCTATCAAGTCTTTCCTTGTAATAGTGGGAAGTGAAGTTATAGAATCACTGGCTGTATGTCCCTGTCTTGTCAGTGTGTTCTTCTCTGGAATTGTGACTGTGGAATGGTGAGCTCCTTCTTTTGCCTGTCACTGCAGACTCTTCTCTTAATGTGAACAAAATTCAGAGTTTGGATGAAAGCCACATTTGGGAGGGAGTATATAAATGTATCAATTATACTGAAGACACACAAAAAAATCATATTCTGCAATGACCTTTTCCCACCTCGAATATATCCTGTACTGGTTAAAGACGCAGAGATTTCAAGCCTAATTTTGCCTATTAGTATGCCTTCTATGTCTGAATATGGTGCCCACTGAAAGAAAAGCAGATTCTATAGTTGGTGTTTCACTGGCAGCCTTCATTATGTGGTGTAAAGTTTCAAAGACCAAGGAAGGAGTTTACTTCTTCAATAATTCAACCTTTTGTGTAAACTCTTTGTCTTGCTATGCACTTAAAAAAAGCTAGTACATCACTAAGATAGAATTTTTTATTGTTGTTTTAGTATTTTTCATAGGAAATGAAAGAAGAGTGACAAACAGTTTTATCAGTAATTGTGTTTTATTTAGGGTGTGAATGCAGAAATGGGATGATGTATATGTACCATTTTTGATTAAGTAAAACTGCAGTTCTCAAGCAGCCAACAACATCTATATGAGTAGGTAGATGAACTTGAAACCAATAGAAATTTTCAGTAAGCCTGTGGTTTTGTTTTAAAAATTGACATAATTTTGTTATGTTTTCGAAGCCCTAGAAAATATTTTTCTGAAAATGTTTCAAAAGTCAGGACTGTAGTTCAGGCCTACTTGACATGTCTTATTTCATAGATGACTTCAGAGCAATCTGCTTCTTGTGTGTTGTTCAAATACACTTAATTGGCTGTCCTGAAGCAAGCACAGATTTAGCTAAGGTTTGCTTGCCATAACCAAGCATCAGTCTTTAAAACAAGCGTTGGTATTGCAGCCTGTCTCCTAAGAGTCAGACTGAAGCTGAAGCTTTCGAGTAAAATTTCTTTGTGAACAGAGACTATGCAAAACTTTGCCCAAACACTGAAACTGCTGAGGGAGTAAGAGGGATTGAATTTGCACCAGCCTGCATTGGTCAGCCATTGTTTCTTCATGGCAACAGCACTGGAAACAAAATTTGAGTATGGAATGAGAGATTGACAAGAAAGAGTGAATTTCTCAGTTAAAAGTTATTAATGTCCAAACAACTTTGACTTGCAAATATGGACAAGCACATCTAATGAAGAGATTGTTTAGTGACCGCCTAGTTAAATATTCCCATGCTAAGCATGCTTTAAACTTGCATTTCAAAACTTTTTGCACTCATATGTAGAGCACCATATTCTATTTGTACTTTTTTAGTAGTTTTCATAAATTCCACATCAAAAGTCCCCTTATTTTTTTTTCTTTCTTCTTTCCTCTCCTTTTTGTTCTGTTTTTTCTTTTAGCAGTATTAGATAAAGCAAAGAGGTAATTTCTGTGTATTTAGAAAGATGTATTAGAATAATAGGAATGTATGACAGGTGATTGTTCATGGAGGTATTTTTTGTTGATGCTGGCGTTTATAAATTTTTCTTCTGTCAAGCCTCCCTGGTTGGCAACAGGATTATTCCGACTAACCACAGATGATGTGGACACTGTTGTTACAGCTTCTACTTTGGCATCCCTTATTTTTTTCAGGTCACATCTATTTGAGATGATAGGAAGCAAGTGACATTTTCATGAGGGTCGCATTCTTCACTGATCATAGAATCATAGAATCGTTTGGGTTGAAAAGACCTTTAAGATCATCCAGTCCAACCATTAACCTAACATTACCAAGTCCACCACTAAACCAGTTAAGGGTAGAGTAGCAACCCCACACCTCCTGATCATAAAAGAGGGATCTGTACTCTTTTTTTCTCTGTGTGTGTAACTATGTTACTTCCTTTTCTTGAACGTTGAAGGAGCACTGACTAGAAGTGAGAGAAACTAGCTTTCTCCCAGGTGCTTTTTGATGTTTTAGGCTATATGTACATGAAGGTACAGAGGTGTTCATTGGGAATTGCATTAAGAACTGTATTTTTTTCTGAGGTGTAGAAATCTTGCCAGCGGAGGGAAAATAAGATGTGTGGGTATAGGTAAAGGCCTTTTCTGTTTATTTCTGGAAAAAAAGAAAGCTACAGAATGTTAGTTTTTTGGGTGCTATATGCAGCATTCTATACTCCCATTTCACTGAGTACAAAACATGAGTTTTTATGAAAAATTCTAGGTGTGCAGCATACATGGATTCAGTAAGCCCTATGCAGGAACCACTCTGTAGTTTTATTGTTTCAATTGACCTGTTGTTAGATTTGAAATGCCATGTTTTCATGTCATGCTTTCAAAATAATTCAAGGAGGGAAACTGAACATTGTGGACGCCGATTGTGTTAAAATGGTTATTATAGCTGTTCAGCTTTAACATTTTTACTTGAATTCTACAGTTCTGAATTGTTTTTCCAAGGACTGTTTCTGTTTTTATGAAATAATTAATTTTGTCTGAAGTCAGACATTCACATCTCAATTTGTGAGATAATGGTCAAGAGAAAGAGGGAGTCAGCAAGGTTTTTTCCGAGTATAATGACCTTTCTTTTTTTTTTTTTATTTAACCAGGACCTTTTCATTCTCCTTGCTTTGACAGCAAAGACCTCATAATGCAGAATGGTATTTCTGAGGGAGTACTGTAGAACAGCAGAACGGAAATGCATATATTTTAACTGAAGCACTAACTGTGCTTCTGACCCAGGAAAACCACAACCCAAAATTTCCTGGTTGCGTATTTGCTCATTTCCTCATTCTCAGTTTATGAAGTTGGTAATAAGCCCCAGTCTTCTCTCTAATTACGTCTATTTTGCGTTACTTCTGAATTGCTGAACACTTGAAAAGTTTTAGTTTCATTTTGAGTGTTTCACACGTGTCGTGACAGTAGGGTCAGTGCAACACTGACCTGATGGAGGCTGTTACTTCCAGTTGCATGTAGCTTCTTTCTAATACCTTTATCCATCTGTGTAACCAGGAGGAAGATGAAGTTCCTGATGATGAGACTCTGAATCAGATGATTGCTCGACGTGAGGAGGAATTTGATCTCTTTATGGTAAGGATGATATGATCATAAGTAGAATATCTTTAGTGTTTTTAACAGAGGCCTTAACCTTTTGTCATTCAAATTTTGGAAAACTTTGTTGGAGGAATGGGCTTTATTTGCTTGCATTGTTTATCTGAGGAAAGAAGGGTAGTCTACTTAAATAGAGAATTCCTCGCATGACAGAAGGACTTCAGAGATCCTTGCAGACCATATAGTGGAAAAGTGCCCATCTGCAGGAAGAGTCTGGCATGACCTGAGAAATTTACAGTGCAAAACTGATAGTCGCAGTTTGGCTTGCTAATTCTACAACACACTTTTATTTTTCAACATTTCTTCCAACTTTTGGGCTATGATATTGGCAAGCAGAACTACAGGAGCTTAACAAGGTAGTAAATTAGTAAACTGATAGTGCTGTTTTCTTTGTGGTTAGCTGGCGTTTGCTGATGGTTTTGTCAAGGTCCCAGTTAGCTGCATCTCTGCTGTTAAAACTGTTGAACAGTTATTGAAGTAGAGGTAGTGACAGTGATTCAAATGCAAGCAACTAATTTTTATTAGTACTTCCCTTTTTGTTAGTGCTGCTACAACACTGATGGAATAATTACTAAAATGTCAGTGTAAGCATGGCTCTTGCCTTTGAGTGTGTGTACAGTGTGAGGATTGCTGGAGGATCTTTGAGAGTTACTGACAGAGCAACAGGAGAATGCTTATGTACTGAAGGTAAAGTGCAGTCCCCTCTAAATTCTACAGAAGCTGCAAGGTGGACATCTTCTGCTCAAGGAGTCGTCTGTAAAACTTCACTGTTACGCGAGTGTGTGGGGGCCCTTTTTACATAAGTGACAGTTGTTCAAGTGCACGGTTGGCAAAGGCTGTATTCCCCACATGGCCATGCCTTTTGTCATTGCTGGCTTGCCAGTCCTTTTGTGCTAAGTTTCATTTAATGTTGTCTCCAAAGAACTGAAACCCCTGAAGCTAGGCTGCACAGAAAATGAGTGCTTACAGACACCTGTCTTTTTAAACTTTCCTTCAGTGATTGCGGTGTAAGGAGATTTACATGACAGAAATCAAGAGGTTGCCATTTGATCCAAAACTCAAAACGAATAATTTGAGCCAGATTATTGACTGAAGTTACGCTGAGTTCTGTGAAAGTGGATTTGCTGCTGGAAGAAGCTTCTCAGTACTTATCCTTCAGACCCAGAAGGAAAGAACTAATCCATGGATTAAAAATAGCTGATCAATTTATGTCTGCTTGGAGGAAATTTCTACAACTTCATCTTTTTGGATTAAGTTTGAAGGCTGTTAAGAGCAATTCAGTAGAACAGTTGAGGGGCCTACAGTGAAGACAGTTTTAGCGCTGTGTGGGCTCAATTTATGTTTTTCATATTAATTTACAGGAAAGTTTTTAGGAGAGAGTAAAGAGTTTGTAGTAGGTAATAAAAATTTGAAGATGCAAAGTTAACATGCTTTGAAAGCCAGGTGTTTGAAAATAGTTAAGATAGAAACAGTGAAGTTAAAGAATAATGGCTAAGAAATAATTTTAATTGTTAATAGAGAATTTGGTTTTCATTTTAGTAAAATATTTAATTATAAAACAAAAGTCTGAAAAACAAGTTTGGCAGTCAGGTTTGTTTGTCTTTTTTTTATCAATGTTTTAGGTCTTACATAGTCAGATAAAGAGCACAAAGATAGGTTTGTATTCTCCTTACCTCAGTGATGCCTGTGCCGCCTCATTCCCTGTGTTAAGGTTGTGCAGATATAATCAGAAGTCAGCAAACTGCAATATCCAAGAAAAATGTGTTTTGATTTGTTCATTTAACTAGGCTTAGAGGTATAAAAGCATGTATTTTGCTTACTTAAAGTGAGCAGTTCCAAAACAATAGGCAGGAGAGCAGATTGGTTCCTTCAGAAGCTGTTCTGTGGCCACTTTTCAGGTTAGAAGCATTCTTTGGCATAGATCCCGAGATGTAGCTGTAGAGCTAAATACACTGTTCAGAAAGAGGATGTGTACAAGTGGACTTTGTTCCCCTGACTTTTAGAAGTTCCACATATATAACAGTAGGTAAAAACTCTAGACAGCCTCAAACACACTGTCCTACTTTTGCATTCATTGCAGATAGTGGCACTTCATCACGTAGTAATAAAGTTTAGGAAATATTCAGAGAAAAATAAGTGTTTCAGTGTGATATGTACAACTCTTGTCATTTCATAATAGCGTGCTTCAACAAGTGTTACTCTTCCTGGAAAAAAAATTTTAAGTTAATGTTATATTTACTTAAATGAAGATTCCTGATGTAAAAACTGCCTTTCAAGTGGAAGAGTGGCCTTTCAAGGAAGGCCTCTCATCAAAATGGGTGCCAGTACTCTAGCTGTGCTAATACAGTTTATCTCTGTGAATCCAAAATGGCAATATAGCAGCAACAGAGTGTATAAATTACTGGTCTTACAATGAGTGGCTTGGGTGGTTTTTTTTAAGGAATATTTTAGTTATAATTTGGCTCATGGCCTAGGTAGGCGTACTCTTCACTGGGTAAAAAACTGGCTGCATGGCCGAGCCCAGAGAGTTGTGGTGAATGGAGTTCAATACAGCTGGTCACAAGCAGTGTTCCCCAGGGCTCAGTTTTGAGGCCAGTCTTGTTTAATATCTTTATCAATGACCTGGATGAAGGGATTGAGTGCACCCTCAGTAAGTTTGCACATGACACCACATTGGATAGGAGTGTCAATCTGCTGGAGGATAGGATGGCCCTGCAGAGGGATCTGGACAGGCTGGACCGATGGTCTGAGGCCAATTGTATAAGGTTCAATAAGGCCAAGTGCTGGGTCCTGCACTTGGGTCACAACAACCCCAGGCAATGCTACAGGCTTGGGGAAGAGTGGCTGGAAAGCTGCCTGGCCAAAAAGGACCTGGGGGTGTTGGTCGACAGGTGGCTGAACATGAGCCAGCAGTGTGCCCAGGTGGCCAAGAAGGCCAACAGCATCCTGGCTTGTATCAGGAATAGTGTGGCCAGCAGGAGAAGTGATTGTTCCCCTGTACTTGGCACTGGTGAGGCCGCACCTGGAATACTGTGTCCAGTTTTGGGCCCCTCACTACAAGAAAGACATTGAGGTGCTGGAGCGTGTCCAGAGAAGGGCAATGAAGCTGGTGAAGGGTCTAGAGAACATGAGAAGCGGCTGAGGGAACTGGGATTGTTCAGTTTGGAGGAGGCTGAGGGGTGACCTTATCGCTCTCTACAACCACCTGAAAGGAAGTTGTAGTGAGGTGGGTGTTGGTCTCTTCTCCCAAGCAGTTGGTGATAGGACAAGAGAAGATAGCCTCAAGCTGTGTCAGGGGCAGTTTAGGTTGGATATTAGGAAAAATTTCTTCATGGAAGGAGTGGTCAAGCATTGGAACAGGCTTCCCAGAGAGGTGGTGAAGTCACCATCCCTGGAAGTGTTCAAAAAATGTGTAGATGTGGCACTCTGGGACATGGTTTAGTGGACATGGTGGTGTTGGGTTGATGGTTGGAGTGATGATCTTCGAGGTCCTTTCCAACCTTAATGATTCCTAGTGTTGACTTTCATTAAAAAATAATCCAGCCACCAAGCCAGGAAACATGAAATTGCTACTCTACCCTTAATTGTTTGAGTGGTGGACGTTGTAGTGTTAGGTTAATGGTTTGGACTGGATGATCTGAAAGGTCTTTTCCAGCCTAAATGATTCCATTATTCTATTCTATGATTCTATGACATGCAAAGATAGGACCAGGGGTTTCCCAGAGGTAAACGTGGTTTGAGTCGTATCCTAAGAAAAAACAGATGGCTGTTTGTATCTCTTACATCTCAGATTAACGGAGAGTGTCTTTAATTTTCCTTCCCAAGCACTTTTATTTCAGAAAACAGCTAGTAAAGTACACTACCTTAGTGTTCAGTCTTTGTCTTAGAGATAGAAACATGGTTATTAGGGATAAAAAAGAAGTTTCAGCATTCACTTCATATACTTAATGTCATTATAATATGATGTCCCTGACTTCACTGAAGTTCTCTGCTAAATAATAGAGAAATCTGTCCTATCTGTGCTGTTTGGGCCTTCTCTCAGTGCACCTTGCTGGTTGCCAAGTTAGCAATAAACCAAGCCACATGTCTGGCTTGAATGAGACTTTTTTTGGAATTAATTCAGATTGAATGAGATGTTCTTTAAAAGGTGAAATATGGAAGTCTGCTGTAAAATACTAAAGGCTATACAGACCATTCATCATTGCCTGAGACAGTGAAGGATGGGGAAAACCCACATGTATTTATAGTTGCTTCTTGAATGTTGTTGGACCTGCAGACTGAAGACACACATCTTATGTTTTGCTTTTCACTGAGTTTAGAAATTAGATAGGGCACCAGACAAGATGATGAAGAGCACTTGTAAGATGCTGTGCTTGAGGTAGTATTTTGGGAATGCTTGTATTTGAGAAGTGCCAAGATGAGAGGAGAACTGTATTCAACAGTGCCATCATTAAGCCTCAGTTAGTAAATTTGGCTGGATTTGAGCTGCCCCTATGGATAGATAATACCTCTGAAGTTATGTCTGTCTGTGTCTTGGCTAGGGGTGTAAAAGGATGACATGTCTAGCTGGCATCCTGTGTAAGTGCAGCATCATGCACACAAGGGAGGGGTTTGCGCATAATTGAGAATGCTTTTTACAAATGTTTACTGGCCAAAGCAAGTAGCCTGTTTTGATGTTACAGCCAGTTCTGGTGCAGGTCTATTTATGTTAGTTTTTCAAATATGAAAATTAAATACTGGGTGGCCGCTTGTTTGTTTTCTCTGCTTAGCAACTGATTACCGAGTGTTTTACCGAGTGTTTAAGTACTGTATGGCTCTTCAGAAGGCCTGTTTGAAAAGGCTGTTAATAATATCTGATTTGGGCTATCTAAAAAAATGCAAATGAGATTCAGAGGACCATATGAGCCTAGGTCAGTGTATAGTCAATAGAGAGAGGTGGATGCTTCCCTGGGAGGATTAAGCACCTCTCTGACAAGTCTACAGGAGGTCTTGGGAATGTATCCTGAGTATCTGTGTCTGTTTTCTGAGGTAACTGCTCACCACACTTGAAATTAATTTATATGATCATTTCAATTTCAGCGTAAAGTCTTAATATTACCTTCTAATATTCTGAACACTTTACCTAATCTTATCTGGTATTGTTGTATGTGTTTTGATTTTTGCCTAGTACAGCAGTAAGATCAGGAAAAATTCAGTAGTTTAACGATGTTGGCTTTCTGGAAAGCTTTTCTCTGAATTTCTCTCTATTGACTCATTTTTTCTAATACCAGCTTTTAAATTTTTTTCATCTGATATTCAGGCTCACAAAAGTAGTGTGTTTTCAGTTACTCTTTTTAGTTACATAATAATAACACCTTATGGCAATGTTGTCAAGGAATGATTAGTATTAGCAGATCACATTTATGAATACAAAGAAATCATAAAACCTGGGCAAAAAAGGAAAAGCGTTGTTTAATTAACGCAACAGCGTTCTTGTGATCTGCTTTCTATCACTTAGCTGCTGTGTTGTCTCAGTTACTTCAGTAAAAGCTAGTTACGGAGTAGTGAACTTGACTGAAGCCATTAAGTGTAGCTGCTTTTTTTTATAGTTGCATTTTAGAAGTATTTAGAAGTATTGTGGAAGGGAAACACCTGTGAAGGACTTGGTTTAAAGTTTCAGTTATCATTAGATAGCCAGGAATTTCCATGTTTCACTTAATATTTGCCCTTAAAACTGTTTTATCCTTTCCTAACTGCCATTGCAGCGCATGGATATGGACCGTCGCAGGGAGGATGCCAGAAACCCCAAGCGTAAGCCCCGCTTAATGGAAGAGGATGAATTACCATCCTGGATTATTAAGGATGATGCTGAAGTTGAAAGGCTTACGTGTGAAGAAGAAGAAGAGAAAATATTCGGAAGAGGGTCCCGTCAACGCAGGGATGTGGACTACAGTGATGCTCTCACAGAGAAACAATGGCTGCGGGTAGGTTGTCCTTTTTTTTAGTATTTTTTTGTAACAGTTGAAATTTATTCATTTGTGGTAGGGTTTTTTTCTTTTCTGCTGCACAGTTGCACCAGGGAGAGCACAATGTAGTAGTTAAGGCCTAAATATCCTTATGATCCAGCTGTTGCTGCTGTGTTGAAGGCCCAAGTAAGTTTTAAGCTGCATTGCTGAAATATAAATTGGTGTTACTAAATGCTGAATCAGGACTATGATAGCTTTCTATTGCAACTATTCTGTTGCCGTGGATCTTGACATATTTCTCACATCTTTAGACACTTTCCTAAGTGTCATCTTTAAGATACACAAAGAATTCTTTTACAGTGGAACAGACCAGTGATCAGTGTATATTACAGCTTTCTGTGCTGCAGAAGCTTAGTTTTATTATTTTTTAAAATACGTGAATTTAAATTTTTTTAAGAATTTGGAAACTTTCACATGAGTCTTCTTTCTTTCATACTATTTCATTTCCAAGTCCTGAGCATTTCTTGGCTCCACTGAGATCAAAACTGTTAATAAGTGATATAAGAATTTAATACCTGAAAGTAAAGATTCTAAACTTAACTCACACCAGATCTGTGATTTTGTTGTGCTTGAATATCCTTGCCATTCTTCTGTGAAATACACATGTAATGAATTCTAATGCATGTGCCTTTTCAGGATGGTAGTGTCCTGGGTTTGGCTGGGATAGAGTTAATTTTTTTCTTTTAGTAGCTGGTATAGTGCTGTGTTTTGCATTTAGTATGAGAATAATGTTGATAACACACTGCTGTTTTAGTTGTTGCTAAGTAGTGCTTACACTAGTCAAAGACTTTGCAACTTCTCATGCCCTGTCAGTGAGAAGCTGGCAGGGGGCATAGCCAGGACAGTTGACCCAAACCGGCCAAAAGGCTATTCCATACCATGTGATGTCAGGCTCAGTATATAAACTGGGGGGAGTTGGCTGGGGAGGGGTACCCCCGCTTGGGAACTGGCTGGGCATTGGTTGGTGGATAGTGAGCAGTTGCATTGTGCATCACTTATTTTGTATACTACTACTACTACTACTACTACTATTATTATTATTATTTTCCCTTCCTTTTCTGTCCTGTTAAACTGTCTTTATCTCAACCCATGAATTTTATTTTTTTTTTCTATTTTTCCCATTCTCTACCCTGTCCCACTGAGGAGGGGAGGAGAGCAAAACAGCTGTGTGGTGTTTAGCTGCCTGCTAGAATAAATCACAACAGGTAGTAACAAGGGTGGTGAGGAGGTGAGGGTTGACAGTTGGAAAGTCTTTTCAAAACCAGGGAATTTGATAATGTTATGATTTCCAAACCATATAGATGAAGTATTATGTGTGCAAAGCTAGTCTACGTGGTTTGACAGAGTAAGTTTTATTGTAGAATACTTACAGACTTAATGCCCACATGAATATATAGTGTAGTTTTTGTGTATAATTTGCTAAAGATAGGTAGAAATCTTACCTACTTCAGTTATGAACGTGATGTTTGTGAGAGTGGATTGTGCAATACTGTGCTGAGAATGAATCCAGATTCTGCTCCTGGGTGTAAAGCTTAGGGAAGCAAAGGTTTCAATTATACATCAGCTGTAAATCTAAGCAAGTTTATGAAACTACTGGAGTTTGATACTTGACATTTTCAAGGAGTCAGTGGAGAAGAAAGACCTAGAAACATAAAATCCTGTCTGGATTCTCGAACATTTACCCTTTCCCACAGTGGAAGTGCTTACAGTATAGGGTACATCTACTCAAGGTCATTTTAAGCTAATTATTTTTAATGATTAAATACTCTGGCTATGGCAACATAGAAGTTAGCTTTGGCTTGCATGTTTTGTGTCTTTAGTTGGCTCCAGTATTTGTGTTAAGTGCTTTACTGTCAAAAATGGCAGCCCTAAAAAAAAAATCTTCCTACTCAGGGCTGAATCAGCCAGTCCTGTGTCATTTATAATAGATATTCATCTGATCTGTTCTTCAAGGCTTTCCCTAGCAGTGAATTTAGAAGTCCACAGGGGAACATATTTAACTGTTTGGCTTTCTCTTATATTTTATCTGAATTTTCTTGTTGGATTTTAAGCCTATTACTTCTTGGTCTAATCACTCTGGTCATGCAGAACAGGCTGCCACCTTTCGTTTTTAAACATTTCTTTATGTCATAGAAGAGTTTTTTCCCTGTTCAGTCAATTCTTAAGGTTAACAACCATTGCTCATTTGGTCTTCCCATAGTTCCTGTTTTCTAAATCTTTTGATTGTTTTCATTGATTTCCCCTAGCTATTCTATGTGTGACTGACATCTTTCTGCAAGTTTGGTCAAAAGCTACACATCAAAATTCCAGGTTCAGCCTCATTTGAAGAAGGAGGAGGAGTTCTTTCACATAACTTCTAGGATACTTAAACATCATGATCCAGTATTTCATTTTCTTAACAGTAAAGGTATTGACTTGTGTTAAATTTTTGATCCAGTGTAAGCCCTTAATCCTTTCCTGTGGATCTGCTTCCTGGCCAGTTTTTCAGAATCATGTTTGTATAGTTGATCTTTCCTTCCTAGTAACAGGATTTAGCATATGCCCTTGTTGAATGATGTCCAAGTTTTCTTCACCAAAAGTATTCTGAATTTTAAGCCTGTCCTCAGGTGAACTGCTGGTCAGCTTGGTGTTCCTTGGAGATCTAGTAGGCATACTTTCTATTATCTTGTAGTTTCTTCCTAAAGACACTGAAAAGCACTGGACCATTTGATGAAAAGCCATTAAGGGCTATTTTGAAAACAGTTTCTTACCAGTTCTCCATTTACTTGATAGTAATTGTTTTCATTGTTTGCTTCTGAGACGGTTGTGTTGAGGCCAGGTCAGAAACCTTGCTAGACAAGATGGTACATATACTACTCCTTTTTCAACATGGCTTGTTACTCTGTTTAGAACAGTTAGTCTCCCTCTGCCTATTGGGTTGTTAAGCATGTTCTCAAATTAGCTAAGTTAAAGCTAAGTCAGATTGCTTCACAGTGCATTGCAGTCACTACTGTGACTCATTTTATACATATTTTAACTTACGCCTTCAGGTGGACTTGAGAGTGTGTTGAAACAAATGCAAGTGTAGGAACTACTAATACTTTTTAGACCCTTTATTCAGAGGATTTATATTTATAGTGTAACACTGCTTATGCAGGTTCAGAATAACAACTCCTCTCCATTGGGTGGGTACTGAAATCTAAGTCAAGTTTTCTGAGGTTTTTTCATGATCTTATTTTCCATGTGTGTGTAAAACAAGAGTTCTTCGTCACACCCATTGGCTTCCCACCACCATCACTTTTATGTCTTCTTTGAGAATTTAAGTGTTTGTCTTTTTCTGTAATGATATCTCTGGAAGATTGTAGAAGAAGTGGTAATAATCTTGTACGATGTTTTCAAGGGATTCTTTAACTATATAAACATACAAAATTGTGGTAGATAGTTTATAAACATTTGCATCTTGTGGCTTTGTCACTGCAACTTGTAGCAGTATCGTGCATATTGCATGAAAACTTCGAATTAATCATTTCATGTTAACTTCGATGCAGTGAACTCCTTGTATCAGTAAAACTGGAAAAAACAGAAGAGCCGGTAAGTTCTGAATTAAGAATTGTACTTTAATTCGTAAGACATCCTTTTACCCATGTTCTTTATCATGCCAATCTCCAAAGGTAACTATAGATACTTCTATTTTTATTGCAGTGTTACAGAAGAATGAGATTTATTTACCAGTGGCAAGGGATGCCCCTCAATTTTTCTCTTGCTGTGGCTGCTGTTACAGCTTCATAGCTATCTTCTCATGGGGTTTTCTGGAGTAAAACTTGGCATTTCTGACTAATAAGTTGGTTTCATAATATGAACATCCAGTCCTCAGCTGTCTCTTTTTCTTCATGTGTCTTGGGGAAGTTGACTAGATCTCTTCTTTTCTGAGGAGTTTTGCCTCAGCAGCCATGACTCGGACTGTGGAGATCGGCTATCTGCTTCTTTTCAGTTAGACTGTGACCACTCTGCTGGTACACCCAACACTAGTTAAAGTCGTGGCAAATCCTCACAGGGTCTGCCATACACCTCAAGGTCTGTATGCATGGATGTATACTGACGAAGCATGTCAGCTCCCTTCTTACTAGGAGGTCAAGTACCTGAGTTTGGAAGCAGGAGACAAAAGAATTACAGAAGCCAAACTTACGGACCTATGCAGTGTTTAGTGAGATTGTGCTGCTGCCCTGAACAACACGTAATTCAATAACAGCCTCCCAGGGAAGCTGTTAAGACACAAACGGGCTTCATCACTAGCTGTCGCTGCAGCCTGCTGTTCTGTAACTGTTGGCATGACAACCATATTTCCTAAAAAATCCAGGAAGGAGGAGTTTGCTTCCTGATCCTGCGAAGCATTTATATTCTGGAAGTATTTCATGCTCTAGCAGATTCTGTCCCTGCACCATTTCTAACAGGACTGCAAAATACTTTGCTGGATCCCATGGCAGATTATTTTCTAGAGGAGTCATCTAATAAGGACTCCATTGCTTAGGGCAGGCCTCAATAATCAGAGGATTTGTTTGAGCGGTTACAAAACTCTGAAGACAGTTGCACCTGGATTCAGCTTCTCATTCAATTTAATTGCTGGCTAGGTGGCAGGAATAAAGTTTTATTCCCTAGTTGTGTAGTCTGTTTGAAATAGCTTTGCATGTTGGCCCAGGAAACACATTTGAGTCCAAAATGAGCAGTGTCTCCTTTACCTCATGCAGACATGCAAAAGTCAACTACTGTGGACTGCTTGTTTTGCTGATCTAAAAATTGTAAGTGAAATTCAAGCGTTTGGTCTGTAATCAGTCAATCTTATTTAAATTTAGAGAAAACCAGTGCTGGCTTTTATACATACAGAATATCTGGTGAATACTGTTTAACATAACTGTGATATAAATTTTATTTGCTTTTTTGTTTATGTTTACTAAGGTAATTATGTTGTATAATAAATCAAA